AAAAGGAGATTAAATTGGGGTAAAAAAGATGAAGAAAAAAAGGGAATGCAAAAGGGGGAGAAAGCCACGTAAGGGAGACATATCTCAAAGTCTCACAAGTGGTGTTTTTGTCCTAACACATCACAATATATCATTTTGTCCCAATATGTGTTATTTGACTAATTAATGCACTATTCTAAGATTTTTTCACCCAATTTCTCAAAATTCAATAGACAGGTGAAGTTTCCAAAGTCAAATTTCCATTGATTGGATCCACATGATCTTCCAGACGTACCAATAAAAGAGATTTTAAGTCATACTATTCCTGTCTTATAGAAAAGGAAAAAAGAAAGTTATCGACCTTACTAGTAATCATCCTCTTAGCTTGCTTTTGCACGGTAAATTAAATCAATCTGATTTTCAGTTTGGTTGTGAATAGTCTATTAATCTCCAAATGTCAGTCAATGACTTGGATCCAATATAATTACTGAGCTAAATTTAACTACAAAAGTTATTATATATAGCGTTGACGTCATTGTTAGGTCATTAACATAAGCGATCAATCCTACGGTTTATATGTTGTGTTTGAACCCTTAAAGTTAAAAACTTTATTTCATGATTCCAAGCTTGTTTTCCTTCCAAATCACGAAAGAGCTTATTAGCCTAAATACAACAAATGATTTCGACTTTACTTCTAAATCATTTCTATATATATATACGTCTCTTCGAAATGATTCACCAACACCAAACAAAAAAAACAAACACCCAAAAGTTTTCTAAATACATTTAACATGAAGACAACAAAAGAGCTAAGACGCATGTTTTGCTTCATCATCTTCTTCTCATTTTTCTCCTTCACCACAAAGAACATGGCATATCCTCTCTCTACAAACTCTCGTTGGATCATCGACGAAAAAGGACAAAGAGTGAAGCTGGCGTGTGTGAATTGGCCATCGCATTTGCAGCCTGTGGTGGCGGAAGGGCTGAGCAAGCAGGGAGTAGATGACTTGGCCAAGAAGATAGTGGCAATGGGTTTCAACTGTGTAAGGTTAACTTGGCCACTTGATCTAGCTACAAATGAGACGTTGGCTAATAATGTTACTGTGAGACAATCTTTTCAAAGTCTTGGTCTTAATGATGACATTTCTGGTTTCGAAACAAAGAACCCGTCCATGATTGATCTTCCGCTCATTGAAGCTTACAAGGTATGCTAGTGTCCAATTTATTGTGTATGGTAATAAATCTAATTTATGCTTACTATTATGGTTTCAAGTTATAAATTATATTTAAAAAACTCGTATCTTTGTAAATTTAGATATTAACAAATATCAGTTTGATTTAGATGTAAAAAAACAAATACTATTAAATAACGTTTTAAATAGCTGCCAAAATAATGTTTAAATAACAATCACTACAATTTTTGTAATTTTTCCTTTTTATTGTTCTTTTCATGAAATTACTAGCTAATTGATTTAGTCCAGAAAAAAAAAATTGTGTGGTTTTGATTAGTGTTTGCATATATAAATCCCAGAGTGGTAATCAGGTAATCTAATGGTTCGGAGACCCGTTATGAAAATAAAAAGTAAAATTAGAAAAGATTTTGATCATAACATACACAAACAAAATAATATACAAAGATGTATTTAAAAAGAAAGAGAAAAAGATGTGGATTTCCTTTGACTATAGCTTTCAACCCTAAAAATCACTCATTTCGGATGAAAACAAAAATCTTCGTTTTCTTTTTTTTTTTCATTTTTGCAGAAGGTAGTAGCTAAGTTGGGAAACAAAAATGTGATGGTGATATTAGACAACCACGTGACCAAGCCAGGATGGTGCTGTGGCTACAACGACGGAAACGGTTTCTTTGGCGACACTTTCTTTGACCCTGCCACGTGGATCTCCGGTCTGATCAAGATAGCCACGACTTTTAAAGGTGCCTCCAATGTCGTTGGCATGAGCCTCAGAAATGAACTTAGAGGACCAAAACAAAACGTCGACGATTGGTTCAAGTACGTACATTTGTATAACCTATTCGCACTTGACTTTTTAATTTCTATATAATTGGTTTAACTTAAATTGCATTAATTACTTAACGGTTACATAGAAAGAAAAAACAACACACAACTAGCGGCCATCTCTTGCACGTATTACTTTTAAGTGCCTTTTTCATGTTTGCCCAATTCGTTGCATGTGTGTGTGTGTAAGAGATCGCTATTCTGTAATATTAAAATCAGTTTTTTAACCTTCAGTGCAGTGGCATACGTTACATTAAAAGTTTCTTTTTTTAATGAAAAAAGTACAACTATAAGAAGAAGGAAATGGACACTAGTTAAAGTATGTCACTTTAAGTGACTTTTGGGGGTTAAAGACTTTAATTACATTACAGTTTTACAGAAAACAAAATTTATCAATCAAATTAGAAATTTCATAATTTTTCCTTTTTTTTTTTGTTTTTCCTAAAGCCAATAACAAGTGGCACATAAGTTTTATGCTATGACTATAGTATACAAAAATCAAAGTACCTCTAGTCAATTTTATAGCAACAGTCTACAACAGCCCCCCAATGATTACTAATTACTTCGTCTGACCAAAACAAAAATGGAAGTATCGTGTGTGTTATAGTTTATAATTTTAGAATATATTTGTCTAGCTACGTCGTAATAAAAAATTATCAGTGATTTAGTGGGCATATATTCAGTGGCGGAGCTAGAATTTAAATTTACCGGGGTCAAAATATAAAAAATATTTTAATAAAGTGTGGTTGTTTTTTTTCTTCAAATTATATTGCATATAGCTTATGTTTTTTTTATTACATTTACAAAAATGAAATTCTGATATTTATAAAAACATTTGGTTTGTCTAAAACATGATAATAAAATTAAAAACAAAGAAACTTATATATAACAATTAGTGGTTATAGTCTATATCATTTTGTAATATTAAAAAAGTTATGGTTTAAGGGGTCAAAAGAGTAGTTTTCATATTGGGCACTGGGGTCAATTTATAGGAATTTAATCAAATATCTATGTATTTGTTTAAATATGCCATAATATTAGTTTGATTTTGAAAATTCACCGGGGTCAGTTGACCCCCATGTTTCTATGCTACCTCCGCCACTGCATATATTAATATGTTACTAGTGATAATTTATTTTAAATATGTTGTTTTCTAAACATATAAATATATACACATATATATATTTGGTTAAGAACTAAGTAAGATTAAGATGTATATTTATTTGTCTCATGTGTTTTTTTTTTTTTCTTTTTTTCTCATGCGTATATTCATGTAGGTACATGCAACAAGGGGCCGAGGCAGTTCACGAAGCAAACCCTAATGTACTTGTAATCCTGTCTGGCCTCAGCTACGATACCGACCTCTCATTTGTCCGATCACGACCTGTAAACCTAACTTTCAGTAGAAAACTCGTGTTCGAGCTCCATCGATACTCTTTCACCAACACAAAAACATGGAGTTCCAAAAACCCTAACGAGGCATGCGGCGAGATTCTGCAAAGCATAGAGAACGGGGGCGGTTTCAACCTCCGTGACTTCCCGGTGTTTCTTAGTGAGTTTGGAATTGACTTGAGAGGCAAAAATGTTAACGATAATCGGTATATCGGATGTATATTAGGTTGGGCAGCGGAAAATGACGTAGATTGGTCGATTTGGACACTTCAAGGAAGTTATTATCTCAGAGAAGGTGTGGTCGGAATGAGCGAGTATTACGGTATCTTAGATTCGGATTGGGTTCGTGTTCGAAGCCAAAATTTCTTGCAAAGATTGTCTCTGATTCAATCCCCGCTTCAAGGTATATTTTATATGTTTTTGATACACAAATTTATTTTATCACTTGAAATCATTAGACTAATACAGGCCCGGCTCTAGGGTAGTGCCGTAGTGTCCATGGGTGCCAAGGCACAGGGTCCTCATATTTTTTTTTAATTTTTAGTGTTCTAATTTGTAGATTTTTTTTTTGTTTAGAAAAAAACTAGAGAAAACGGCGAGCAAAATAATAGGTTTAAAAGAAGAATATAGTAAACACATGTTATGGAGGTTATTTTTTTTAGATTTAAAGATTTAAAGAGAGCCATTTTTCGTTTGTAGCACATGATCCAATAAAATATTGAGCCGGGCCTTATTTTAGACTTCACAATCGTCACCAAGTATAAAATCAAAATTTGGTGGCTAGTTTACCGACCATTAGATTTTTTTGTCACCTACAATTCAAATACACAATACAAGTGTATACTATCAGATTTAAAAATATATAGGGTCATGTTTAATTAACTTTGCGTAATTATTAAGTACAAGGATTTTCTAGATTTTGTAACTTTATTCATTTAAGGTGGATGTTAGCTGCTATAATTAATTAACATCTCACTATTCCTGACTTGGTTTACCAGGACCGGGCTCTCAATCCAAAGTCTACAATCTTGTTTTCCACCCGTTAACCGGACTTTGCATGCTACAAAGTATCTTAGATCCAACCAAGGTCACTCTCGGTCTATGTAATGAATCTCAACCATGGAGCTACACTCCTGAGAACACCCTGCTGACACTCAAAGACAAGTCTCTATGCTTAGAAACCACTGGGCCCAACGCGCCGGTTAAGCTCAGTGAAGCGAGTTGCTCAAGCCCTAATTTGTCAAAATGGGAGACTATTTCAGCCTCTAATATGCTCTTAGCAGCGAAATCAACTAATAACTCGCTTTGTCTTGACGTGGATGAATCCAATAACCTCATCGCTAGTAACTGCAAGTGTGTGAAGGGCGAAGACAGCTCGTGTGATCCGATAAGTCAGTGGTTTAAGATTGTTAAAGTTCGTAAATAATGAGGTTTAAATATATATATTATTCATCTCATATATAAATAACGCGATTAAGTAACTTATAAAAGTTGTAAACCTTGTTATTATATGTTAAATCTAATATATGATGCTATTACGCTATTATATGTTAAACCTTGTTTATGCGATGTGACAAACCCAAATAAAATTTTAATATATGATGAAAAAAATAATTATGCTGCAAAATATACAGATTGGACATTTGAAAAAGTGATATTTTGTATTAGTTAATTTATTAAAACTAATTTGGTGAAAATTAAATGTTTTTATGATACGGACATTATTAAAGAAAGAGGTTGGATGAAACAGAGAGACAACCAAATGGAAAAATTCTTCTTCATCTCTGTCTTTCTTCTTCCTTACGTCATCACCACTTTCGCTTTCCCTCTCTCCACCGACTCACGCTGGATCGTCGACGACGGCAACAAAGGTCGTCGCGTGAAGCTCACGTGCGTCAACTGGCCGTCGCATCTAGAAACCGCGGTGGCGGAAGGGTTAAGCAAGCAGTCATTGGACTCGATCGCCGAGAAGATCGTCTCAATGGGTTTCAATTGTGTTAGATTGACTTGGCCTCTCTACTTAGCCACTGATGAATCTTTCTCTGATATTATGACTGTGAGACAATCTCTTCGCAAGTTTCGTCTTCTTGAAGCTGTTTCTGGTTTTCAAACTCATAATCCAACGATTCTTGATCTTCCTCTAATCAAAGCTTTCCAGGTAACAAAAGTCAAAGTTTTTACCTTTCTTCAGAATTTTCCCCCAAAGATTTTGACTTTTCTATCTTCTTCTTGGGATTAAGAAAGATGAGAACTTTGTTGTTATTTCTCTTAAACAGGAAGTAGTGTCTTGTCTTGGAAAGCATAGAGTAATGGTGATATTAGACAATCACATAAGCCAACCTGGTTGGTGTTGTAGTGACAATGATGGAAATGGGTTTTTCGGCGATAAACATTTAAACCCTCAAGTTTGGATCAAAGGGTTAAAGAAAATGGCATCAATGTTTGCTAATGTTTCATCAAATGTGGTTGGTATGTGTCTAAGGAATGAACTTAGAGGTCCTAAACAGAACATTAAAGATTGGTATACGTATATGAGAAAGGGCGCTGAAGCGGTCCACTCAATGAATCCGGATGTTCTTGTTATTGTCTCGGGTTTAAATTATATTAGAATATGGGCTTCCAACTCAAAACCAATTGGCTATGAGTGGAGTGGCCCATATCCCTTATATATTACTTAGGATCCCTTCCAACTTCCGATGTAGGACATTATGTCCTAATACGCCCCCTCGAGATGATGGCTCTTTGGCCATTAATCTCGGAATGTTCGGGCTTAGATCGACGGCATCAATTTGGGCCTTGTCGATGATTGGACCATCTTTGGGTCGGATCGGGTTGGACATGTGTGGACGCTACTGACTTATCGTTTCTCCGAGACAGACCTTTTGAAGTTAGCTTTAGGAGGAAACTGGTGTTTGAGATACATTGGTATGGGTTTTGGAATTCTTTGGAAGGAGATAACTTGAACAAGATTTGCGGGAAAGAAACCGAAAAGATGATGAAAATGTCGGGGTTTTTGCTCGAGAAAGGGGTTCCGTTGTTTGTGAGCGAGTTTGGGATTGATCAAAGAGGGAATAATGCAAATGACAATAAGTTTCTAAGTTGTTTTATGGCTTTAGCAGCTGATCTTGATCTAGATTGGTCACTATGGACTCTTGCAGGAAGTTATTATATAAGGGAGAAAACTATTGGAACAGATGAAACTTATGGAGTTTTGGATTGGAATTGGTCAAGCATAAGGAACTCAACCATTTTGCAGATGATTTCTGCAATACAGTCTCCTTTTCAAGGTACACAAATTGTTTTTCAAACTTAAAATTTGTTTTATTTGATTTCTTGATTAGTGACAAAATTTAAACAACTTTGCAATATTCAGGACCAGGTCTGATGGAAACACAACCAAAGAAAATAATGTTCCATCCTTCAACTGGACTTTGCATTGTAAGAAAATCATTGTTTCAACTAAAGCTTGGTTCTTGCAATAGATCAGAAAGCTGGAAACTTTCTTCTCATCGAGTTTTATCACTAACAGAAGAAAAAATCCTCTGTTTAAAAGCTTATGAGGACGGAAAGTCTGTGAAGCTACGTCTGTTTTTCTCAGATTCTTACTGTTCGAAATGGAAGCTTTTGTCTGACTCGAAGATGCAACTCTCTTCGATAACAAAGAATGGAGTATCTATTTGTTTGGATGTGGATTCGAACAATAACAACATTGTGACGAACAGCTGCAAATGTTTACTAGGAAACTCGAGTTGCGATCCGAGAAGCCAGTGGTTTAAGCTTGTTACTAGCACGAGAAGGCGGTCGAAACCAAAACCTTTTCTTCAAATTAGTCCATACTCCAAGACAAGTACCTTTTGATTGCAATTATTTGCTTTGTATAACATTTGATCCGCATTACACATAATACACACTGTACATTTTACTAACAAAGATTAATTATGTGCCTAATCTAATTTTAGAAGGGTGAAGATCTTACAATAGCCATATATAAACAGATATTTTAGTAACAACTTCAGAGTTTAGCTGTTTTATCTTCTATATTATTTATGAATCTTGCTTCTTCTCCTCTAGAGATCTCGGTATAATCCTGACCTTAAGACCATGTTTCATATACAAAGTAGTTGTTACTCGGGGAACAATAACGTGATCTTGATCAACCATGATTGAGTAATTCAACAAGATTGAAGCAGCCACCATTTTCATCTGCAAGTAAGCAAATGTTTTCCCTAAACAAAGTCTTGGACCGGCATTGAACACGACGTATTTAAACTGATCATCACTAACGTATTGCCCTCCTCGTATCCATCTCTCTGGTTTGAACATTTCACAGTCTTTTCCCCAAATTGATTCCATCCTTCCCATTGCATAGACTGAGAAGTAAACCCGTGAGCCTTTTCTCAAGAAAGTTCCATCAGGAAACACATCTTCCTCGGTCGCTTGTTTCATTTCCATTGGAATTGGTGGATAGAGTCTAAGAGATTCTGACAATGCTGCTTGTAGATAAACCATATCGTTTAGTTCTTTGACTGTGAAGTGACAACCCCTCTCTGTTTCTCCAGTTTCAAGATTATTGTTGTTATGTCCTCTTTGGCTCAAGATTTCTCTGATTTCGTGGAGGATCTTGGTTTCGACTTCAGGGTGTTTTGTTATCAACCAGAAGAACCAAGTAAGCGCGACTGAACTCGTGTCTCGTCCCGCTAAGATAAAGCTTGTACAGAACTGTCTGAAAAACTTAATGGTGAATCTATCATTTTCATCTCCTCTTTTATGACTTTCGATCTGGATTAGTCTCGAGAGGACATCGGATTTGCTATTCGCTAATGTTCCTTCATCCTTAAGCATCGCGATTCGCTCGACAACCATCTTGTCGATAAACTTGTGAACCGTCTCAACCGCTTCCCTCAGCCCTTTCTCATACCCTATATCAAAAAACTTCATCGGTTTCCACACAAATGGCGGAATCATGAACCGAAACAGAGTAGATTCTGTTGCTTCTTCAAACGCTTTAGCGAATGGAACGTGGGGAAGATCATCATCCAAAGTCCCCGGATCATCTCCAAGACCCGCGATGCAGATATTATCAAACGTTAACCTTAAAAGAATCTCTTGAAGATCAAAAGCTTCTTGTGACTTGGAAAAACTCTCCATCACTTTCAAGAGCTTCCTCTGTATCAAATCTCTCGTCGTTTGAAAAGAATGATCGACGAAGCGAGTCGAATGCATCTCAGTTATGATAATCCGCCTCTGCTCTTTCCAAGATTCATCATCCGCATTGAAAATACCATCTTCGAGTAAATCGCGGAATCTCTCTTTGTAAAACTCTCCTTTAGGGAAGTTCTTGAAATTGGTTTTGAGCATGTATTCAATGTTTGCAGGAACACTAGTCATAGCTCCATAAGATCCACTAAACCAGATTCCTTGGTAAGGAAACGTTCCTCGACTTTTCGTCAAACACCGTGTAACCCATCCGAACACATCGTGAACATGAAGAAAGAACTCGGGAGTGATCCCAAACACAGGCCATTGCACTGGTCCACCTTTGTTGGTTAGCTTGGCTTGCAAGCAACCAAAAAGGAATAAACCTAACAACGCAATAGATACATCTTGAAGACAAAGATGAGTAGAAATGCGATCTATCAATGACAAGTCAGACATTTTTTGTAATTTGTTGCTCAGTGACTCTATTTTGTAGTAAGTCTATAAACATTGAAGATTGGATTTCAAAGTTTAATGTTTATGTTTCGTAAAGATATGTAAATCGAAGATTCAAAGAGAGGATTCATCATGCGTTCGGTGCTTTTTTGCTTATGGACTCAGTTTTAGGGTATTGGTCTATTTCAAGAACAAACGTTTTTTCTTGACGTACACGTAACGTTATATTTGAGGTTGAAAATGCAAATGGTATGTGTTGTTAGGTTAGTGTCGTAAAGAACTCGTAGAACAAAGCTACAAATGCAAAATTTGCCAAATCTTAAGTCTCTTTGATATGGAGTCATTTGTTGTCCTGGATCAGTTTATAACAAAAATTATCCTTGCATAATTTAGACTCAGATTTTATTCATTTTAGTTTAATTTATCAATTTTCAATTTTCACTTTGGATAATTCACAAAATTATAATTGAAATAGTAAAAAAATAACTCCTTAAGCAAATTCACAAGATAAAACTCTAATCTCACAAGGCACCGGAAAACCACAGACTGTATTATTTCAGTCTAGAATTTTTTCGGTGCATGGCGGGATTAGAATTTAGTTTTGCTGATTAGCCAAATTTTGGTATGGTTTTTAACCTTTATAACACTATTTCAATAAGCCGTTTACCAAAAAATCGGGCCTAAGAATCAATCCAAAGCCCATATGTTTATTTGTTCAATTTCGAATCTCAAAAATGAGATTAGTGAAATATACCAGAAGACAGGTAACACTGTGAAAATAGTAAAATTTAAACACAGAGCTGTTAAATTCTGGCCAGGTTAATATTTGCTCCGGAAACTTGAACATCTCTCACTTTGTATAATCTAAGAGAGTTCACCATTATGAAGCAATTTTCACAATTTCAAAAAACATTACAGATCTAAACTTTAGATTCGAAATTTCCCAATACGATGAATCGATGGATACAAAAGAAGCCATCGGATCTTTAGGTAATTTGTTAATTCGAACGAATCCGAATTCGCAAAATCCTAAACGAATCGTATTGAAGATTTTTGATTATACGCTTTCGGTGACACGCCCTTCAGGGTTACAAAAACCCTATGACGAAGAGCGCAACGCCTTTCGAAAGCGATCTAAAGAAACATTTGTCAAAGACTTAACAAAAAAAACAAGAATTGAAATCAATCGTAAACTATGGAGAGGAAGATGTTAGGGGTAATGGTGACGGCTACGGAGATTTGACTGGGATTTTAAAGAACTAGGGTTTAGAGGGACTTGCTTTTATAGAGAGAGAGGTCAAAATTAGGGAAATGTCGTTAATGGGCTTTTTTTAGGCCCATAATGTTATGAAACATCATTATCAACATTTGGTTAAAATTTGGATCTCTTTGATAAGTATGGAGTTTGGGCCACTTTTTTCCAGTTTTGTTAAAGGAAGACGAGCACCAATATTGAAAATGCATTTACAGAAAACAAAATTCATTTATTAAATACGAAATTAGTCTTTTTTTGGGGTCAATTAATACGAAATCTATCTTCTTCAAGATGATTTTTACTTTTGTTTGGCCCAAAAAAAAAAAAAAAACTCCTTGCACTCATTGGATTTTAGTAATAACGAATAAATATAAGTTATTTGCTTGAGGTTGTTGTTACAACAATTGCTACAGAATTCAATTGATACGTACCAAATCTTTTTTTATTCTGATAGAGACTTTAAACTTTTAGTGGATCTTATCTACAACTCTTACAAATATATGACCGGTAAAAGAATGATTCAGTAATGTTGTAAAACCTTTTATTAAAGTTTTAAAATCCCTTTTGCAGTCACATCCTAAATCTTTCAATTAATACCCTAGGAATGATTTTCAAGGTTAAATCGAACTTTAATATTTCATAACAAGAACCCTTCAATGAAGAACCAAAATTTTAAAACTAAAGATATCTCTAAGAGCTTGGGCAGTGGGTAAGCAGGTGGGTGTGAGTCTTGGGGTGTAGGTATTAAAAAAACGAAAAAATTGTCTCTCTCTTCACACCTGGGTGTAAGTTTACACTCGGGTGTAACATTTTTTCTTTCTATCTCTCTCTTTCTTTTTCTTTCTCTTTTCTCTTTTGCTTTAAATTATAATACTAAAAAAATACTTACACCCACACAAACACATTTGCCACTGCTGATGGTCTAACACGAAAAGATTAAAGTTGTAGTCAACGATCACTATCAACTCTGCCATGCACCAAGTAAGGTGGATATCAAACCACGTGTCAGTGCCCCATGAATCAGAGGGAGATACAGAATGTGATCATCACTAGCACAGAGTCTTCTATTGTCCCTTTCACAGGTCACTGAATAAGACAGCTAACTCTAGAACAAAGATAGTATTGCCTGAAAAAGAACTCTTACCCTAGGTCAACCCAATTTTAGTCTCCTATCAATTCTATATCCCTATTTTAAAATATCAACATAAATCCAAATATTACTACTTTCTTTATACCAAAGAAAAGAAAAGAAAAGAAAAGAAAAGAGTTATATAGATGTGACCTTTTAGAACTGTGCAGGAGTCATTAATTCATGTTGATGATAACCAAAAAGAACTTTGCTTGAGTGATTTAATTCATGTTGATAACCAAATAGAACTTTAGAATCAAACAGACAAACAAAAAGGTACAATTTCTACACACCAAAGAAAAAAAAAAAAAAGGTACAATTTCTAACCAAGATTATGATATGTCTACTTACACTTTTTATATCTTATGATGATACACATTACAAATAACACCTAGAAAGATGTTTCTCCTTCCAATGTGATACACCGGCCACAGTCTATGCTACTACTGCCGGAAAATCCATCTTCGTGACTATTATCATGGTCACTATCACAATATGATCTACTCAGAGAGTGATCTTGACCGTCCATTCGCTCAAGATGATTAAGTCTGGTGCAGCCGTTGATGTTGATGGAGACAGGTTCTGTTAACCTCTTCCCGTCTCGTGGAGGCGAGAAGACCACTGGCAGGTATAGCTCAGCCTCGTACGGAAACTTAGAGCTCTTGAAGTGTTCCTTTAGATCCTCCAAACCCTTTGTTGACGATCAAATGTAACAAAATAAACACATTGTGACCAAATAATCAAAGCTATCGTAAAATCAAGACTTTGGTTTGACGTATAGCTTAAAATTTGATATATATGGAGATAGTGCAACTTCCATGCGTTTGCATATTAATTTGAGGGTTAACTAGAGCATGTAAAGTTTATGTAATTTTGTGATTTCAAAACACTAATGTGTATATTATACCTGAACTCTTGCATATGTGATCTGGCAAATCTTACGCGAATTAAAAACCTCCCAACGTTGATGATGAAACGCCTTGTAAAACCTCCAAGCTGCTTCCGGAGATGTCATGTTCACAAACCCATAACCAACATTGCACTTATTGCTGATATCACAACAAAGAAAAGAGTTATGATTTTAACCATAAATATAACCGATTCTATATGTCAAATGAATATCGATGTTTGATTACTTGAAATCCATGGGGAGATACACGAAATCATAAGAAGAATACGGCTGATGATGAGACTCATGTTCATCGTGCTCCTCGGTGATTGCTTTGTTGATGTGAATGCAATGATTGTCTAGCATATCCAAGAGTAGCTTTTGACTATATAGAACAAAAACACGAAACCTTAGAAAAAATCACATGGAATCTCATAAATAAAAAACCTACAAGAATCTCAAGGAAAAATGTTAGTCAATTAAGGTATGATCAAACAAGAATATAATTAAAAGTTCGATGGAACATAACATTGGAGAATTTTATCTAGAATATAAACCTTTGAATATAGCACACGAATCCATGTGAATATTTTAATGAAAGATCTAAATCTTTAGTCATCCTAGAGTGTGAAAAAGCTTCAAACTTTAAATCCAAATAAATATTTTATTGAAAGATTTAGTCTTTAGTTTCCTAGAGAATCATTGAAAAACTTCCAAATTATATAATACTAAATAAATTAGATTATAAAGCCCAACCTGTACTTGTTTGGTATGTTCTTGATCATCAAAGTAGTACGTGGATCTCTGCAACTCGGATCTTCCATGGTTTCTTCACTGATAAGAAACTGACTTAGTTCCATGTTCTTCATCTGTCTTTTCTTCCCCCACTTAGCCACATTCTTGCTCTTTGTCTCCGCACATTCGGATTCCGTTCCTCGGGTCTTATTATCGTCATCACCAATGATACATAACGAACGCATAGAAGCACCAACAGCAATAATTCCATTTTTAGGGCTCACATTCTTGTTTTTATCTTTCATGAGAGTTACTGGCCGCCTCAAAGGAGGAAATAGAATTGGTGGCTGTTGAAGCGGTTGAAACGGTAGCTGCGGTTGCCTAGATGACCTGAACTTGTTCTTAATTCCACCAGGTCGACTAAATTCGATCACAACTTGCTTCCCACCGATCTCTTCACCATTCATTCGATCAAACGCTCTCGCCGCATCTCTTACATCATAAAACTCAATGAACCTTTGATGTTTCTTGTACGGTGTCTCTCTCAACTCTTTGATCGGACCTGAAATAAAGACTCGCACATAAACAAACTGTCCAATCTTATCTATATTCAAAAGCTAATGATGTTCAATATAGCATGCAAACAATTAACCCATTATTCATGTAAATAATAATGTAATTTATATCATAGCTTAACATTTTTAAGTCTTTGAAAAATGTTTTAATTCCTGACATATCCACAAATCGAGGAAACATACTAAACTAAATCAAGACAAAAAAAAAAACCGTACCGTAAACTTGGAAAAACTGTCTGAGAGTAATGGAAGAGACTTCAGGGTCTAAGTTAAATATAACTAACGTTCCCTGGTTACAACCTCCGGGAACGGCGCTAGTGGCCGGAACTACGAACTGAGCCCACACAGGTCTACCGGAAACAAACCCACGCGCCGATGAAGTAGAAGGTGAGCTCCAAACGCTTCCACCTCTGGCTTGTTGCTGCATGTGTCTACCACAAACTTCTCGAACCGCTCTTTTAGCGTCACGGATATCGTAGAAATGGACGGTCACGATTCCTTCAGAGATTCTCTCCATTTGCACGCCACGAACGTCGCCGTAAACCTCCAAGTCACGTCTCACTGTAGACTCGGTGACGTCACGCGGTACGGAGATCAATGAGAGAGATCGCGTCGGAGAATTTGACGGCGGAGGAAGTCGTTGAGCTGCCGAAACGCCGTTAAAACACGGACGCGGTGGTGGTGATGGTGGTGGTTGAGAAGGAGGAGGAGAAAACATCACCGGATGTGGTGGGATGTTGAAGAATGTGAAAACTCTTGGCTCCGACGACGGATGTAACGGCGGAGGAAGCGGTGAAGGAGGAGTGAACGGGAAGTAAAAACCGGAGGAGGTAGGGTTAAGTGGTATAAACTCTTGAGCACGAGGGTCTAAGTTTCCGGCGAACGGAAAAAGTCTAGAATCTTCCATTAATACCGGAGATGATATTTTCCGACGAATGATGAAGTTTTCTTGATCGTGTGAGAGAGAGAGATACTGTAACGTCGTCTCTCTCTGTCTTTGCTCTTATTACAGACAAGACAGTGGAAGAGAACAAATGTTTATTTTTATTTTATTATTTTTGTGTTGTAAGCATTTAAGTTTCTCGAAAATGACTGTTTTTACGTTAAATCGGATTTATTATTAGTATCCGTTTGTGGGAAGTTACGTTAATACCCCTATTCCCTTTTTGTTGTAGGCTTTGGGTTCTTGGTTTTACGAGGCGTAATAAATAAAAGTCCCTACGCGACACGAATACTGAGTACGTGGAAAATTTATTTTTCGTTTCTGCAGATTTTATTTTTTAGTATATACTCCGTATTTGAAACTGTGTAAAAAAAAGCTAGTAATTGAATGTGATTAGTGAGACTGAGAAATTGACAAGGAAAAATTTGTTATGGACCTTATCGGACAATTTTACTTTTTGATTGTTTTGTTAAATTTTCTTTTGTCTTACTCTTGATTTGCAATATGTTATATATATTATATATAATATCGTATTCGTACTCCGAATCTCACTTCTTCATTGTCTGTTAGTTTTTCTTTTTGTCTTCTTATTATTTATAATATGTTAATACAATGTCGTAATCATATGAAGAATACTTAAGCGGTTATAGAATAAGAGATGCGATTTTTAAAAAAAACAAATGTTTTTCGATTGACAAACATTATTTAAGCAATTTTTTAAACAATGAGTAACCTTCACCGCCTATAAAAATATTTTTACCGCATGTAGGCATTGTTTCAATAAACTTGCTCTATTTATCGTAAAAATTATTCCATTGATTAGTAATCTTTGAAACAGCTGAACTTCAACCGCATCGACTATAAATTATCAATCAAACGGTATGGATACCAGCTACTAATTCTGTAGACATAAAAAAAGAAAATAGTAACCAAAGCTGGCCTTGGAGCTAAGCAAGCAAAGCTTAAGTTTGGGGTCTAAATCTTATTTGATAATGTAAAAGATCGGTAGAGTAGTGGCCTAGTGGGGGCATAAAACTTCTTGAATTGAGGTCAAGGATCAAAACATAAGAGCAAAACCAAATTCACGTAAACACTTGGGTATATAGCTCACCACAAAAGGTAGCTTAGGGTTTGGCTGCTGCTAGTACTCATAAACTTTGTACTCAATAATGTTTTTTTGTCCTCATGAGACTTTCTCTCAATTGAGCTTTTCTGCTTTGTTTTTTTTTTCTCCCTTTTGTATCTCCAAAATCAATATATCTAGTGTGTCTAATCTCCAAAACATTTAAGGTCTGGCAATAGCTAGTTCGAGACTTACTATTTTTGGTTAAAAGTTAGCTAGAGACGTAACTCTTTGGTTGCACCAAAAAAAAAAAAAAAATTAAAAAAAAAAAGACTTAAGGATACATTATTTTCGCGAGTCCAAGGAGGAGGGTACATTACACATTCACAAGACCATTAAATAAAATTCATACAAAAAGGTTTAATGATATAAGAATCAAAGATCTTTAAAAAGCAATACTATTGTTTAATGTGGATATTAGTATAGTGAAGGAAAGTGTTTTGTTAAACACGAAGTAGTGACCAAACGCACGTGCACATGAACATCTCGGTTCGAGAAGAAGACTCCCCAAATACCAACGACCAAAAACCATAATCTTGGTTTTCGTTAGCTATTTTTTTTGTTTCAGGTAAAAATAATAATTTACTTATTACCACTTCTTCTTGCTTACCACGTTTGCTTCCGTTTCTCGCATTTTCTACAACTAAAAACGTATTTAAATTTTCTTATTTGTTCTACAAGTATGATTCTTTTCGGGAACCGTACATACAAAACCAAACCAAACCAAACACTGAGCGAACAAAATTTCAATATAACCGAACCGAAATTATTTTGGTTAGAGTTCAATTCTAGGTTTGCTAAAACCGAATCCAAAACAAATAATTGAAGTTACAAGATAAAACTAACCATCTTTATATTTCTGACTCTAAGTCTTGGAAATTGTATCCTAATCTTTCAAGTTAGTGAAGCAAGATTTGTATCTTTGAGCAAGACCAAACATCCCTAGAGTGCCTCCAGTGTGAAGCATCACTACAATGCTCGATTTCTCGTCGAGCACTAGCTCTGTTGCTGTCTCCCAAGCAGCTAAAGTATACATTGGATCCACTAAAACTCCTGTCTCCTGCGCAATTTTCCGACACATTTCCACTTCTCCTTCCAAGACCTTCCCAAATCTGCAAGAACAAAAGGAAAAAGATAATTGATAGATCAAACCACTCTAAAGATTCAAACTTGGAGTGAAAAAAAATATCAGTTTCAGTGTATCTTCAATTGTGAAAAGAAGAACTTGCATATGCACATACTTTCTCGGGTGTTGGCGATCTATCCATTTGATCATTTGATTCATATCCAAGCTGCTGCAGGAGACGGAGTCAAGAAACTGCCTCGCAAATTCTGCTATCAAGCGATCTTCATGTCTTTTGTAATTTTCAAATGTATCAGCTAGTATCACTGCATTGATCTCCCATGGAAGCCTGAGAAGAATTTTAAGTGAGCTGCTAATCAAGATGCTAAAAGCTTCGACAAGCAGGAAAAGAAACAGACACAGAGCGTATTCAATAAATCTTATGAATAAAGCCTAACCCTAAAGACATAGCTGCAACTCCTAAGCCCACAGCAGTTGTTCCAGTACCAGCATCCACTACAAATTTAACCGGCCTCTTCTTCCCGAGTAAATGATCCTGTGAAAAATACTGCACTAACCGAAACATACCTGCGTAATGACAAAGCCCTTGTTAACTATTATGCATAAACGATAATCTTGGTCAGTTCTTCCACATTGATTTGGTCCACTACCTAAACTATATCCAAAAATCAATCTTTACCGAGTAATGCAAGAGCGTCTCCAGCGCCTTCATTAAGGATCAAAACCTTTCTACGAGAAGTTGTCAAACTCGAAAAATGATCCAGCCTCAAGCCCCTCAACAATGTCTTTAGCCCATAAGACAGAACCATCTTCCCCAGCCACCATAGCAGCATGAGATCTCAACATTTCCTCTCTATTCGCATACCTTGATCTTGGAATATACTGAACATTTCCATACATAGTTGAAACAAGGTTATAACCAGTCAAAACATCAGGCTGTTCTCCACGCAGTAGCAAATGTGATCTTAGACCTCTCTCGGCACACGAAACAGCTGCAAGATACAAATAACTGATTCACACTGCAATCAAAACCTATAATTCTCTAAAGATTCAAACTTTTACCAACTGCAGCTGTATGTGCACTTTGACAACCTCCACATGTAACCTATACACAAGAAAAAGTTCTAATCTTTAAGCCTTTTCCAAAGAACCCAATTGACAAATATTGCAAGTGATCACATTCTCACCAAATCAGTCACTTTATGATCTTCAAGAAGTGGTAACAAAGCATCAAGCTTTCTAGCTTTGTTACCATTCACAAGAGGATGTAAAAGATCATCTCTAAGAATATAAAAAGACGAATCTTGCTTTGACTTCGACATTTCATCTCCGAGATGTGGACGAGTGTTGTTCAAGAAAGAGAATTTATCGATTCCTTTGACAGAAGAAACACTAATCTGCTGAATTGGAGTTGCAGGACTTTGTAATCCCCATTTTCTCTCAAGTAATTTAGACAAAAACTGTCGTGAATCAAGCTCGGAAATGGTGATTCCCTGAAATCGATTAAGACACAATGAATCAAGTGAAAACGCAATGAAATCAGAAAAAAAGTTCAGATTTTTTTTCTGAAATTGCAAATGGGTTATTCGTAGAAGTGACAAAAGGAACGATTTTTAATTTATTTTGACGACGCAGAGAAGAGTATAGAGAACCTGAGAAGAAGAGTGAAAGTGATGAAGATTCGATTTTCCGGTCACCGCGAAAAAAGTTGACCGTTGGACTTTCATTGACGCTTCTCCGCAAAATTCTTCTATCGGCTAACGAACGAGAAGATATGGAGAAATGCATCCACGCGCGTCTGGTTCGCAGGTTTTATGCTCGTGAATGACACGCGCTAACTCACACGTTGGTGGGCTAGGCCTGTGAAAAAGTACGGCCCATCTCTTGTGGGCTATTTGAGGGTGCTATTTTGTAAATTTATAGATGCACAAAAAAAAAAAAATCATCTTGTAATCATGTAAAAGATGTATCATCCCAATTTAATCGATGTTACATCGAAGAAGGGATAGTCAAAATACTTTATACATCTACAAGAAAATATTTCAAACATTCATTACAAAATATTATTTTTACGCGCCGATCACAGCTCTAGAAAAAGAAGAGCGATCCAGCCATTGCACCAACAACAGAGACAAAGCCAAAAGCTACGGTGGCACCGCTTCCGGAAGCTTCTTGTTGAGGTGGCGGATAGTTAGCGTACGAAGAATCGCTTCCAATAGGTCCGGCGACTGCCACTTCATCATCTCCGGCAGCATCATCTGGAGTAACAGCTGCATCGTCGTTGTCAGTTGTTCCAATAGCATTGTCATCAGCTGGACCTTCTACTACATCACCTCCAATGCCATCGGTCGGAGTTGTAGCGGTGGGAGCTGAGGCGGTGGTGGTTGACGGTGGTTTATCATTATCAGCAGGTGATACAATCACGGCGGAGATAGCGATGAAGAGGAGGAGGAGAGCTACGTGAAGACGCGCCATTATTTTAAATTTATTTTATTAGTAATGCCCAAAAAACTTTTTTTTAAAAATGTTTTATGGGTATTTTCCTTTATTTATTATTTTCTTGAATTGTGTAATGAGACTCTTTGCTTATATAGTTGTTTGATCAAAGTCCAAAGATAACGTAACGCAATTTGAGGTTTTGCCAAAAATATTAACGGCTGAGGAAATATGCAAGTTACATATATCTTCTACTCCTAATTAAGCTTCTTGTAATCCTATCAAATATAGCAAAAACAATTTGATACATAGGATTCTTTAGATTTTTCTGAAATCAAAATTTAGTACTCTAATGTAAACCAAACAATAATGGAAAAAAAAAAGAAGGTACTTTTAGTGATCTCAAACCAAATCAGAAGAAAAAAAAAAAAGATATTTTGGGATTTTTTTGGGGTTTTAGCCTTTTAGGCTTCTTATACAAATGAAATAGAAATTGAATCTGACAATTAATTGATTTAATGAAATTATTTGACAATTATTAACAACATAACCTAAAACTTGAACAATGAACAATTAGAATAATCTAAAACCTATACAATGAAATGTTAAAGACAAGTTCCTTAACTTTATGTACAAGCTTCCAAGTCTTATGAACATAAATAGCAAACGCAATTTTTCTTGCGTTTTTTTTGCTTGATGTCAATCGCAGTTCTTGCCAACTAGACCACTAAGTTCACTAGCTGAGATCGATATCCACTTTTTCCGGTACACACCTTTCTTTTCGGTTCCTATCAAGCTCTGCTCCAAGCTGACCCTGATCGCCTGCACCAAACGCATATAGCTTCCCCGATTCCGTGAGCGCAAACGTATGAGCGTTCCAATATATAGAGTTCGTTAGACTAATCTGAACCACCCGCTCGTTCGCTTGTTTCAGCGATGTTACTACCGCTGGACTTAGCACGTTTGCATGTCGATTACCCTGCAAAAAAAGGACCAAAATCAAACCAAACATACGACTCAAATGACATAAAGGATTCGAGTTTTCATTTGCGTTTGTATTTATAAGCTAAAATACGTTTCTCACATTCTTTTAAACACAACATTTTTTGTTTTTATATCAAATGTATGATTAAAACGCTAAAATCTGTGGATATTTGACAAAAAAAAACACATTATAAGTTTATAACATATAACGTAAGCAAAAGAAACAATAGAGGCCATAGTCAATCGCTAACCTGTTCATCAAAGGAGGGATGGTGACCGAGGCTAGCGGATTCGCCGCAACCAAACGAATAAACATCACCATCGTCTGAGACCACAAAAGTAGTGTAATCGCCTGTTGCGACATGAACCGCCTTGACATGGTTTAGCCCTTCTACAACCTTAGGGACTGATTCACACTCCTCGTTACCGTGCCCTAAACATCCGTATCTTCCCCAACCCCAAGTGCACACTCTTCCGTCCTGACCTACCACCGCAGCATGCCAAGCACCCGCTGCAACTACCCTAGGTTGAAGATTCAATATCTTAAACTGCTCGATAACCCGAGGATACTTCTCATCCGTTCTTGACCCATGACCAAGTTTGCCTCCCAAACCGCAACCAACCGAGTAAACAGACCTAAAATAAGCATGCTACCGCATCAGTGCCGGTGTTGGGCATTTACATAATGTGCTATTGCACATGACCCATAGAAACATAGCAAAAAATTTAGGATCCAAATTATTTTTGTCAAAAGAATTTAACCATACAAATATGACTACATTTGTTGTAACCTATAATATTGTTGAACCCGTCGAAAGTGTTAAAAAGGAACTCACATTCCATTTGGTTGACAAGCTAAGGCAAGAAGGTAGCAATAACCAGCAGCAATCTGCACAACGGGTACATTCTCGAGTGGGCCTAACAAAGGACGGGGCTCAACATCCGCAGCCTCGGTTTGGTGTCCTAGTCTACCGTCGTTGCCCCACGAGAATGTATAAACCTTTCCTTCTCGGGAGAGCACAGCGGTAAAGTAATTTCCGATAGCCGCTTGCACAACAAATATGTTCTTTAAAGATGTTACAAGCTGAGGAGTTGTAACTGGTTGAGTCCCTTGCCCTCCGTATTCAGCTTCCCCAAATGATTCTTTTCCGCACGCATAAACTTTTCCGTCATCGCTTATTAGCATTGTCCGAGCAGCACCAGCAGCTGCTTGGATGATTCGAATTCCCTGCAATGATCTGCACAGCACGATAACACTCCATCAACCCAAGAGCATATATTTTCTTCTCTGTTCAGATCTTGATGATGATGAAAATGACCTAACAGGTTGAATTCGAGCTTGTTCCTCAGTATGACCATGTCCTAGCTGTCCAGAGTTATTATATCCGAAAGTATAAACTTCGCCTTTTGATGTGACTGCGATACTATGACCAGGACCAGCAACTGCTTGAGATTTCTCTCTTCGACAACACGCTTCACCAGCCAGCAAAAACCGAAGGACCAATTTCCACGATCCACCGCATCTACGTTTCATCTCTTGACGTTCTTCTTCATTCATCGGCTTGAAAATCACCCTTTTATTACACATGTCGAGAGCAGCGAGCTCCGATAGTGATAGATTAATGTCCGGGGCAAAGTTTGCTGGCTGGCTAAAGAACGAGCATGTTGCCTACAACAACAACAACAACAATCAAATCAGCAGAACAATCAATCCTCGAAATATCAGTACACATTTCCGACATTTTTCGAAACAAAACCTCGAGATTAGCGAGGTCACGAGGATCCAATCTACATTCAGTGAGAACATGAAGGACAATGGACGGATTAGCTGCTAAAGGAAACTCTCCAGGAGTTGAGTCACCAAAGCAATGTCGTTTTGGCCTCTGAAATGGTGACACAGGAGGAGAAGCAGTCGGAACCGGTTGCTCCGGTAAGTTAAGATACTGTAATCCCGGAGTTCCACTAGTTGTAGCATCCATTATAAACACAAGATTATCTACAAATCACAAATTAAGACAAAGTCACACTCTGATTTGCCTGAAAGATGAGAAAACACACAGAACAAGATCCCCATAAAGTTACCTGCAAATTCTGTTGTCTCTAGTATTTCTGAACAAGTTTTAAGCTTTTTGATCTACAGAAACTAGTAAGGATCCAAATCATAATCAATAACCAGAAAAGTTGAAACCTTTTTAACAAATCAAGAACAAAGAAAGAATCTGTGAATCAATCAAATCAAATCAACCAAGAATGAAAGAAGAAAACTTGGAAGAGAAGAGTAGGAATCAACAATGATTATTCTATAAAGGACACAAAGGTGAAAAAAGGAATCTTAAAGAAAGATTGGATCTGATACGGAAGATAATAAGAAAACTGTTTGTCACACGCAAAGGACTTCTCCTTCTCCTCTGCACACGGAAACTCAAAGTTTTGACCAAACCATGATCAGAACAAGAAACCCAGAAATCAATTCAGATTGACCAAACAAACCCATCAGAGAGATCAATCAATTTTGGGAAAATGTTAACTAATATCACAGTTTGATCATTACCCAGATTCACAATCAGAGACAAAATCACAGAATTCAACAGAAACTTGAAAAATGGATAAAAATGATTACTTTTTAAGAAAAAGGTTGAAAATTCTTAAAACCCATCTGCATCAAACAATCATCATCATCAATTCATCATCAGATTCATCATCAACAACAATAATTCGAACATCAGAATTTAAAGACAAAGCTAAAGTGAGTTTCTTTGTCTTGTGTTCTGTTTTCTGATCAGAGCATAGAAGATGGAAAGAATGATGGGAGAATGTTTTGTTAGAGAATTGACTGTTAAGAAAAAAAAAGGATCTTTTTTAGTTTTCGTCCTGGGAAAGTCTGCAAATTTGGCGTTGAGAGAAGTGAATGAAGAAGAAAGAAAGTTGCGGTGTCTCTTTATGCGGACTTAAATTCTGATAGTTTGTGGATGTGGATGTGTATGTATATGTGATATGTCACATATATGTTTTGATTGTAATGGAGTATAATATCATGATGATTCAAGCATGTATGCATGTGTATGTAGACGTGTGCATCCAAAACTTGGTTTGAGTGGTAGAACAAGTTATCTATCCATCCAACGGATCTTTTATAGTTTATTAAGTTGAGAAAAAAAAATTGATTATTACTCATGAGTCCTGACATAGTTATCCACTATGATGACATCCCCATACTTTTTCATGTTTATTATTATTTTCTCTGAAAATAGGAGTAAAATTTGTTAAATTCATTCCAGTTTGAGTATTCATGTCTAGATGGTAAGGTTACGTTATAGCGAAAATCCGTGACCGTAAGTAGAATTAAAACCAGAGAGAATGAGCTTATTAAGATTAAAATATATAAGATTGAAAATATTAGCTCATTTTATGTTGAAGTTTTTTTTGATATAGTGTAGCTTTGAAAGTTTGAATGAATGATGTGGGTAAAGCGGACTAAAACATACTCTTTCTATCCCATTTTACTAGGATATGACCCGCGGTACACCGCAGGTTAATTATATGATTTTTTTATCTATTTATAAACTGATAAATTTGTTATATAGAATATTTTTTATTGTACACCGCGGATTACATATGCTGTAACTAAAAAATAAAAATTTTAAATTGTACTTGTTTTGTTTTGTGTTTAAGATTGTATAATTGTATTTTGATTTATTATTTCTAAGATTTCACCCGTGGTATATTGTCTCCTATTAATATCGACCCAAACCCGTCTCACCATATAATCCCGTCCTGTGAAATTAAACATCATTTTGTTATTTTTTTAATAATATTTTTATTTAAAAGACATATAATTCGACTCAATTTAAAAGTTTGCTTTCAAATGGTTTCCATAATATATATATATATATATATATATATATATATATATATATATATATATATATATATATATATATATATATTTAAATTAGTATGTATTTTTGGACCAACCCGTAAAATTAATATACCACCGATATTAAAACATATTATAAAATTATAACTATATATATAAATATTTAAATAATAATATTATGCCACATTTTAATTATAATTTTTAAATAATTAAAAATAAATAAAAAACCTTATTGAAGTTGGAATGTCAGTTGAAGTGAATATATAGGGTTTTTCGATTTGCATTTACCATAGAAATGAATATATAGGATTTTTAATATGCAAATCTTGTATTTAGTATTTACAATAGAAATGGGAAAGTGGGAAGTGGCCCATGTAAATCACAAAGCGTAGCCCAACAAATACTAAACGATGCGTTTGGCAATCGTCATGACCCTTGTTTTTTAATGGTTATTTCCGAGAGAGAGATGGAGGAAGACGCTATCTTTGACGGTGGCGGAGAGTTCGTTGGAGGCGATTTAACCGGCAGTATAAAATGGTGTTGGTACAATATGTTGAGACGACACAATCTGGTACATGTAAGGCATTTTGTCAATTCTAAAAACATAATCAATCAAACAAATTATCTTCGTCTCTTTGACTCTTTCTCTCGGTCGTGTTCATCATTGAATCCCAGCTTCTTCGAAGTGATCCTTCACTTGTACACTGCGATTTTCTGTTTTTCTTCAACGATTGGTGAGTTCTAGATCGGATTATATCTTACATCCACAGATTTACTGTTTCAAAATTGAATTGAGGATAATTCGACAATTCCATAATCAAAAACCATCTTCTTCGCTTCAACTTCTTCAGCTAACAGGGAAAACCTAACCGTTGAGCTAATCCACCGTGACTCTCCTCATTCTCCACTTTACAACCCTCACCACACCGTCTCCGACGGTCTCAACGCTACTTTCCTCCGCTCAATCTCACGCTCTCGCCGTTTCAATACCAAAACCGACCTCCAATCCGGGTTGATTTCAAATGGCGGCGAATACTTGATGAGTATCTCAATCGGTACTCCTCCGTCGAAAGTCCTTGCCATCGCTGACACGGGAAGTGACCTAACTTGGGTTCAATGCAAGCCATATCAACAATGTTACAAACAAAACAGTCCACTCTTCGACAAGAAGAAATCTAAGGAAAAGGAAGGAGAAAAACCCTAACGAAATTCCTACCATTTTTGTTTTCATTTGCAGTTGCGAATTGGGATTGGCTAAAGCAGCTCCGATTGCACAAAAATGGCTTCTCGTATCATCATCAATCATTCCTAAAAGGTTTCTTTATCGATTTTTTCGTTTTATCTACGGTTTTACTACCGTTTTTGATCTTCTCTCTTTGATTTCTTTTTTTTCAATCAGTCTTCTTGATAGTTTTTTGCTTTGGAGCCTGCAAATTAGAATCAAGAGACAAACTAAATTAGTTTAATTGGAGATACAAATAAGTCAAACCTCTAGTGCAGATGCTTACATTGTTTTGAATTCTTCCACCTCTGGAATGTAAAGATTTTCATCCACTGGAAAGTGGAAACTATTAAACGTGGTAGATAAAAATATTTTTCTACCAGCATTAAAGCTGGTCATCAAGTTAAGATTTCCTACTTATTAAGAACCATTTAGAATGTTTGAAAGAGTAGGATATACGAACTCTTACCTCTATATTCTTAGATTCGACCAGAAAATACTTTGCTTCCTAAGACATGCAACATATCAAGTTAGTTGATAAGAAAAAGGTTTAGAATCAAATCTTAGTACATGGAAACTTACTTTCTCATCAGTCTAGACCATATCAAGTGTCTCCCTTTTTTTGACAGTATATTGTCCATGAATGCAGGTTCTTAAACTTGGACGCACCATGCGGCTTTGTAAGGTCTCAAATGTCAAATCTCTGAGATTGGAAAATGAAGCAACCATTGATTTCTGGAAATGCTTATCTTATCGTGTTAAAAGGTAAACTTTGTGCTGATGTGTAATTCTCTGTTAGCGAAAACATATTTATAGATGTCATAGTCTCTTGGCGTTTAGGTTAGAGAATTTAAGAAATTCGTGTTGAGAAAGTATAGAATATCTTTACAAATCTTTGATTCAATAATATATAGAATATGCTTTATAGATAATTCGTCAAAATTAAGAACAAATAGTTTGATTTATTAGACATTTCCAATTGATGTTGTGTATATTGAATGTAGACATTATATTGTTCAATTTTATTAGGAAACTGAATAGATTTGTAGAATATATTTAGCATATAAATGGGATACAATGAGATAAACAAATCGTCAGAAATTAAAGTATATTGTTAGGATTCCATGTTTAGTTGTTATAATCGTATAATTAATGTTGTAATTATTGTAGAAAAAATCTTACCAAAATAGATTATACATAATAATAGTCAAAATTTGTGGAAGAGATTCCATTGTTAGGATTTGTTAGATTAGGAATGTAATTAAGAGGATATTTAGTCGAATTAGTTGATTTTTTTTTTGGAAAGTCGCATTTAAAAGAATCCGAGAGTTTTGATTGGCCAGTGAGTCGGATCCAAAAATCTAATCGGGTCAAAATCTTTTAAAAAACCCGACCCGATTGGCTTTGAGCAAATTTGTACTTCAAAAATGTTAAGTAGATTAGATGTTTGGAGTAAAAACACAGAAATTAAGAAATAATAAATGTTTTTTCATTTATGAAAATTCAACCTATAGAAGAAGATATTGCATAATTAAAATAATTAAAAACTATTAAACTAATATAAATTATGCATTGAAGTTAGAGACAATCTTATATAATGGAACAAATAAAAAAGTCTAAAATATCTTATATATTGGGACAAAGGAAGTAATATTTTTCAAAACGGACAATAAATCGTCGCAGATTATGTTTATTTCTACGTAAAACGGTCCATCATACGTTTGTTGTTGATTTGGTATAATTTTTATAATTTATACTATTCCATATTATAGTTTATGAATGATAATAAAAAAGTGGTTTAAACCGCAAACAGATTTGTCCGCCTTAATCACCGCAACTAATCGAAACATGAGAGTGGAAGATGTTAGTTTTGTGTTAAAGTTATCTTTTGGTATGAGGGTGAAAAATAAACTGTCCAGCTCATTCTACGGTAACCTTATAAACTTATTCTTTATGCTTAGAAGCAATACCAACCTGGCTAATATAAAGTGGAAGTGGTGGCTTTATCTACAAGAATATTAAACGTGCATTGTGGTATATATCTATAGTATATACATATATATATATATATATACATATATATATATATATAGTTTTGCTAATGACATTTTGGTATTTTCTCAAGTAGAAATAATAATCAAAACAGAAAATTAAAGGAAATAAACATTTTAAGGGCTATTTGCGAACTCTCTAAAACCTTTTTTTTTAATTTTTGTTTACAGCAACAATAGTTCATTCATTCAAGTTAAAATTGAACGGTTTTCTTCTGAAGAAAATCAATATGGAGTTACAGAGCTTATATGGGAAAAGATAGCACTACGTGTTCGTGCATTCTTTGCAAGGCAGTCAGTACGGTATTGTTACAACGTGGAATAAAAGATAAACTAAAAGGGAAAAAATAATTTCAAAGAACTAAAATCTTCTAACTCTGACGAAAAAGCAGGCCACTCATCGGGAGTGTCTAAACCCTGAGTTAACTCTATGCAATATGTCTCAAAAGCAACGTCAAATATAGAAAGTGAAATAAGAGATCTCATTGCTCAAAGGAGAGACTCAAACTCTGCGAGAAGCGGGGATAAATATTTACGAAAGCTCTTTAAACCCAAATGAATCATATTTTGATCTGCTCTAACAATCCAACCAATACCACTTAGAGTGAAAATATCCACCCAAGACCCATCTACCTGGCGAACTCGAGAGTCGGCTGGGACTGGCTTTGTGGAACGATGGGATACTTGGGGATTGCGATCGTTTCGCGTGCTCGTGCTACTCGAAAAGATTCTGCTTCATTCGAGGCAAGCTAAAACGTGTCGGCAGGATGGGTGTCCTTGTTCTCAAAAACCTTTGAGTTACGGACCTTCCAGATAAATCACATGATCTAAGAAAAATTTTGGGTGGAAACCTCTTTTTTTTTTTATAGAAGTTTGTAGCATTTTCGAAAATTTAAATGTATGATAGTTTTGGAACATAAAACATATGTAATTTTTATTTAGAGAATTTCCCACATGATAAAAACCAAAAAAAAAATATATTGAAATTATATAATTAGGTGAAAGATAAAATGATAAAGTTTCTCTTCAATTTTATAAACTATCTTGGGAACAACATCATCAGGAGTTGCAAGCGACAACACCCAATAATTGCCATATATATTTGACCAAACCTTTCAGCAAAATTTATTTATTTATTTTGGTTTTAATCCCTGTTCTAAAAATCTCCGTTTAGTCCAATTACTCTCCGCTTAATCACTAGGTCTATTCTATCTGTCTCGATTAATGACTAATCCCCTAAAGAAATCAGTTTTCCGATTATTCTCCGCCTAATCCGATTACTTTCCGCCTAATCCGATAACTCTCCGCCTAATTTTATATATCCGGATTATTTTTAGATTCCAAGTATAAAAAACCTTTTTATTTTTGTTATTCAATCATTTAAATTGAGAGTTTGTGATGTTTTATAATAACTTATGTTCAAACTTTAATAAAAATCATAAAATTTATCTCAAAAAGACAATTTTATGTGTTTTCTGCAATTATGAAAAAAAACATTAGATTAATATGTTTTAAAAATATTAAAATAACCCTAAAACTAATCCTCAATTAATCCCCAATTTCAATCTGATTTTTCAATTAATCGCTAGATCCATACCGAACGCCCGACTAACGTCTAGCCATTTTTTAAACAAGGGTTTTAATGTTAAAAATCTTCTTTGGGAATTAATCTTTATATATTGTGAGATGAGAACCACTAATATTTGGGACAGATTCACCATAATAAATTAATAATGAAACATTAATTTAAACCTTTTTTTTTCATTCTCTGACAAGACTCTTTACCTACACATATAATTTGTTTTCTTTTTCTTTCAACTTTCCATTGTGTAGTAGAAAATGGTTCTATTTTATCTCCACCGGATCAAATTATCCGAAATGTTGAAATATTTAGATAATATCCGTAGATATACAAAACCAACAAAAATAGCTAAAAGTATTAAAATAACTATTTTACAAAAATTAAAAACAAAATTTAATATTCTTATCACATAAAATACTTCAAATTAATTTTTAAAGATATATTAAGACATTTATTATATTTACTCTAAAAAGTACACTAATATTTAATATATAGTTTATTTTGGTGATATTTTAAAATATTCTACTAATTATTATAAAATATAGTGATTAACGCATCATTAAAAACTTTAGGGGTAATATAGTGTAACACTTTAATTAGGATCGAATCCACAAAAACCAAAAAAAAAACATTACAAATTTTGTAAAAGTGCTAATACAAAATGAAAGTTTTATTGTTTTCAATAAATTAAGTAAAAGAAAAAAAAAAGCAATAAGGAGATAAAAAAAACATTGGACACATGAAAATCTCAAGGATTCATGAAAGCATAAATCAGATAATTAAACATGGATCATATTATGCGTCGTTCTTAAAACTTTAAAATCTCATTTGAAGGTGGACCGATCGATCGTACCAATTATGGACCGTCGGTCCCAGGTACAACTTATGCGCCAACTTCACTTGCTCACGAGATTGACATTTTTTTTTAATCTCAAAAGTAGTTTTTTTCATTATAAAATAGAAAATTAATTACTCTCTCCTTTTCACCAAAGAGTGTCATTTTGACACATTTCACACAAATTAAAAAAACATTGTATTATACATATATGCCTTTATTTAATAAGTAACTAATGATTTAAAGTCAGTGGAAAGTAGCTTTGACTCAAGGGGTAAATTAGAAAATTTAGTGTAAAAATAACATTGAAATTGTAGAATGACACTCTTTGTGAAACAAAAATAAAATTTTACAATGACACTCTTAGTGAAACAAAAGGAGTACTCCCTCCGTTTCGTTTTAGTTGTCGTTTAAGGTTTTTTCACACAAATTAAGAAAGCATTAAATTTTCTGTTTTACACTTTATTAATATATTTTATAAAAAATTTCATTGGCCAAAACATTAAAACTGTAGGGATAAAACTGGATTTTCACCAAACATTTGCATTGAAAACCTAAAACGACAACTATTATGAAACAAAATTTAAATCTTAAAACGACAACTAAACTGAAACGGAGGGAGTATTAAGTTTAGAAAACAACACAAACTTATATCTATGTAGTAAAAATATTAGAAATGAACTTAACCAAGAATTAATACAAATTCAAGAAAAATAAACAACACTAGAGTCATATTTCACTAAATACTTTTACATATAATATATATATATATATACATATATATTTATAAGTTTATAAAATTATTAATTTATGTTATTGATGAGAATTGAGATCATGTTTACGTATGATTTTCAAAAAAGTTATTATTTTATTATTTTATCGATTTATGTTATTTTTTACAATGATCCCAATTCGAGACCTAAATTTTTTATTAATTTATAAAAAATTAGTTTATCGCGTATTAATTTATAGAGGTTGTAATGTACGTAAAAAAATTTCCCAGAAATTAATTAGTATGGTTCCATAGTTTTTATCTTCCTGTATACAAATCCGAACCATACACTTTCTCTTACAGTTTGGTATAATAAAAAGAGTAAGAAGAGGACATGTACAAGAAATGTGAAGAAGATTATATGGATTGGATTGCTATGAACATTGGTTTTTCGTTCTGGTCTAGTACCGGTTTAGACTCCTTAACCGGGACTACTGCATCTGGAACTCTTTGACATATGTTCTTGATAGAAAGGATCATCAGAGCCTTGAACTGAACTCAGTCTTGGAGACGAAAAACTCCATCCTTCCTTTTGCATTGCCTCGTCGCAGCTTTCTTCTTCTTTGAACTTGATGAAGTATATTGATGTCCAGTAATCTCTCACCAAGTTCTTCAAATTCATTACAAAAATGAGCGCATAGAAAATGAGAATCAAGAGAATTAAGCTTCTTGAAGGCGTAAGAGAGTGAAAGAGACATGTTATTTTACCATCTTGATCAATTGCATCACTTCGTTTAATGCGTTCTTGAATAGATCAGAGTGAGTTAGATCTTGAGTGGTTAAGATCTCTTGTCGGGTTTTATGAGATAAGTTTACTTCCATTTCCGCTCCTGCATTTAAGGAATTACTAGTTAGATTTATAGAGAGAACACCTGAGACGGGTTTACGACGAAGAAAGAAGATGGGTAAATAATAAACCTGAGACAATGAACTTCTCCATGATATGTCGAGCCATGTAGATTCTTCTTATCGAATCATCTACCGGGATTTTTCCATGTTCATACACTTCTTCAAAAAAATGCAATGTTTCTCCAGCATAGCAGCTAACATCATATAACGATTCACTTTAAATAAATGGCGAAACCGGGATAAAAATGAGGTCAGTCGTCAAATAGAGTACCTATCAGCAAATTCCATAAACGATTGGCGAAATCTTTTATTGAGAAGAAGCTTATCGAGTGGTTCGTTTGGATCAACAGGTCGATATTCCTCCTTTCGGAATAATAAGCCGCTATCGGGAATGCCTAGAGCTTGACCCATTCTTTGAAACTCAAAGTGTTCTCTTTTCTTCAAGCTGATTTGTGAAAGAAGAGGTTGATTACTCGAGATGGAAAAGAAGACAACGACGAGAATCCCACCCTGAAAGAAGAATCAACTCAGTAGTCTGTTAAAAGGTTTTCCAACTACAAATATAAAGAACAGTCCTGGTATTAGCTTCATACCGTGACTAGAAGCACAAATCTTGAAGCAACCTGAAGCCAGGAGATCTCTTCATGAATCTCATTCAACACAAACGCTGTTACCCATATAATGATTGAAGTGGCTGAGACGAGAATTCCTTTCCAGAGATCTCTAAGCTCATCAAAACGAAACTCTACATGTCGAACTGCTCTTGTGAATGCAATTAAAGCAAGGACATAGAGAGCATGAAGGCCTGCAACTGGGAAAGTCCATTGAAGACGCATGTGGCATTTATCATTGAGAGGCTTTGTTGCGTGGATAACTGAATGCAAATTCAAAAGCTTTGAGTTATTATCCAAAACAAGAGAAACCAAGAACTGCTCCGTACATACAAAGTTCAGAACAATTCTTACTTGCAGCTCCGAAGATCCATGGCAACAAAACAAGGGGGAGGAAAATGTATGATTTTATGGGTGGTAGACGTTTCCTACATTGCAAAGAATATATAGCAACCAAACAGCATGAAACACAATTATATCAATAGAGACAGAATTGGGAATCCAATATCCCCGATAATTGAAAACATTTTGATCAAAATTGAACCTTACTTGACAAATATGAAGTATAGTTGAAATGCCTGAGTTATACGGCAGCCCATCAGCAAACCAAATCCAAGTGGTCCTTCAATCCACACTGAAACCAAACATTACATTGATTAAATTATACAAGACTTATTGATCTAACTATCGATTTGTTTACGAAGATGAGTAATCATGGTTTCCAAACAAACCTGCCCAAAGATAGCAATATCGCCACCAATGTTTCGTCCTGAATCGAAGTAAATTAACTGACATCTGAAAAATTAAACATTAAGGAAATATTAGTGTAGAAACTCAACAAATGAAGTGATTCTTAAGAGCAATGGAAGTAGTCTTAACCATAATTGAGAACAGAAGGTTGAAGCTGGCGATAACTTGAATAACAGGGATCCAGAAACTGCTACTGTTAGTACGAGGAGCCTTGTGAATCAAACAAGGTAAGACCGAGCGCGATAAAAGCCTAATAAACAAAGTGAAATCCATCAGATAGAATCAACTAGTAGAGAAATTGAGCTACTTGGAAGTTAATTCACTCAAATCAAGCTTTTGAATTTCAAATCTAAGTTCATTGATTGATTTTGGACATAAGTATATGAATCTTGCTATCAAGAATATGAAAACATCTAAATTCTCAGCAAAAGAAACTGAAACGAAACAAAAGACAGATCCTTTGTGGCATAACATCAAACACCTACAAGACAAAGAATTAAACAGCAAAGAGAGACATCGTACGAACATTCAAAACCCCAAAATTCGAGATTTTTTCGTCGAGGACGACTCAAGTCAAGAGTCAACAAGCAAACCCAGTAAATGAAAAATCCAGATCTTCACAACTTAGAGAAAAAATGGGATTTTTAAGTGATGAAACGAGCTCAAATAGAAGAAGAAGGAACACATACACGAAGAAGCAGATTACTGAAATTGCGACGGCGACGTAATCGCTGGGACAACCACCATGTATAGCACATCCACTCGCCATTTCTATTGTAGCATATCAGCTCTCTCTCTTCTCCCACTCGATTTCTGGGTTTTTGAGATTTTTTGTTTGTTCCAAAGCTTGTTGCTTTAATGTCAAGGTAAAGTGTGCAAATTTCAATAAAAGAAAGAAACTTGATTTATCGATTTTGGAATTTAGAAAAATAGAAACTTTAAAAAATTCACACTTCGCAGAAGAGAAGAGACGTCTCTGTCTCTCCATTGTTCACGTTTCTCTGTTCTCGTCTGACTTTTTTGACCAGAAAAAAAAAAAAACACTTCTTTTTCCAGTAACATTATTCTTCAATTAATTCATTAAAAATGTTTAGTAATACATAACATTAACAGTAATTAAAAAAAACTTAATTAAACCAATTATAATTGATAATTTTCATGGAACAGTACTTTCATTTAAGAAATAAAACAAGAAATTTTATGATTTGTTTTTCACTTTTCACTTCATTAATTGTGAGAGATCCAATTTTCACTTTGTCCTTTGTGTCAGACGTTGGTAGATTAACCTTAAAAATTACAATAACCACCCTCTACTATAGATATTTGACAAAATCACCCATTTAAATTGTATACTTTTCAATTCAGCCCCTTTGTAAATTTTGTTTGTTTCACTCCATTGACTTGATCTTGGAACTATGTCGCCACAACAGACCTCCCACCAAATTGTTGAGCGCGTGCGAGGCCATCGGAACAAGAAGACTTGACGACAAAACAGCTGCATAACCGTAGATTATACCGACAATCGACGCCCTGAAAATTTCAAGAAACAGCAACAGAACTTAATAGGTAAATCCCGGAAATGCGATAAAGAAATGCAAGAACATGTGAATGCAATGAGAGAAATGATCATGGTGATTCTCATCATCATTGAGGTACCATAATGTTCAGTAAAAATGGCTTACCAAACTGCAAAAGAATACTTTCTTCCACTCCCAAGATGAAGTAAACCGAAAATGAGTCCAACCGCTACAATACCGTTCCAATTGGTTCCGAGCAAAGGCATTAATGCACCTCTAAAGAGCATTTCCTGTGTGATACAAACCAGTGAACCAAAATTTTTAAAGGAAACACTTTCTGTGTGTTTATTGTGATTGTTAATTGTTACCTCACTTATTCCAGGTAACATAGCAACAACAAGGTAATCTAGAGGTTCGAGAGAAGTAAGAATCTGCAAGTAGTGAACACCAAAGGCTGATAAGTGGAGTTTAGAGAATCGTATAAATCTATGTAATGTGTAATGTTTTGACCTGTCGGTTTGCTGCTTCACTAGAATCAGCAAAATCTGGCCAAGATTTCAGTAGCAAGAACCTACTTGATGATATAAACACAACGATTCCAGCAATTAAACCGAGATGCCAAGTTTCAAACCCAACTGCAAGAAAGATCAGACAATACAAAATCCAGTTTTGTTTAATGATTCTCTCAAACGATTAGTACACCACATAATCAGATTTTTAGAGATGTTACATGGTACAACTATCGAGCAGTCAGGAACTGGTAATCCTTCAGTCGAAGCAACATGAGACGCCTGCGAGTAGAAACCAAATCAGTAAGATGCAAATGATAGAATAAACAAAACCAAAACTTTCAAAAGGATTCACCTTTCTGATGATCAGACCTAGTGCAGCCATTAAACCAGAAGTTACAGTACACGCCTGAAGCACTTTGTCTCGAGGAGCAGCAACAACAACAGCACCAGTAGAATCCTTTGAAGTTAGAGTATCAACTTGAGCTTCTTCAAATCTTGGAGAAGAAACTTCTTCTTCTGTAACATTTCTTGTGGTTATGTCTTTACCTTGTTGAGACTCTCTTCTGAGTTTCTTAAGTGATTTACGACTCGAAGAGGCTCTTACATCAAACTTAAAACCCTGAATATAATAATCAGACAATTAGATCATATCTGTTAGTAGATTTTATTCGGACCAAGAAGAGGCAGAATCTTACAGTAACTGCTTGTACTAGTGGAGCATCATATAGCTTAGGATTGGAGCCAACTGATCAAGTAAGCACAATTCAACCAAAAAAGAGTTATTATCGAATACACATAATATGATTATACGGACTTAGGAACCGAACTTACCTACCTGGACGAAGGAGGTGAAGAGAAGTTGAAGCTCCTCTGCTCCAAGATTGCAGAGCGATGAAACCCATCCGAAACGAGAGGTCTGTGTCGCACCAGCTTCGGACGGCGTCGTTTGAACACACACCAAGAAAGATGGAAAAAAAAACAAATTTTTTTATTGTGATCTAGAATAAACAGAGGGACATGGTGAGTCCTTTTCTGATTTCTCTTGCCAATTCAAAGTTCTGAGCTTTCACTGTCGATCAGATCAGAACAAGTTGAAATATTAACAAAAGCTCATCTCTTATCTTTTTCCCTCTCATTAGATTTTGTTCTTGATTTCTCTGCCCCATATATCGATGTGGATCAACCATAATGGAAAGCGGAAACAAAAAAAGATAAAGAGAATGTAATAAAACAAGAAACGAGAAGATCATGGAATAAGACGGCTAAACTTTCTGCATTCCGTAGGAGATCTCTGCTCTTGCCCTTGGCAGAAGAACAAAGTCGCCGGACACCACGAGAAGCAGTTTCCGGCGAGCTGCAAGTTCGTTGAGCCAGGCTTGAGGGCCATCAAAGGACCCGGTACGACACCGAATAAGAAATTCCCGCCTAGTAAGAGTCTCTGAAACCCGGCGAACTCGGATCCGGACGATACGGTTTTCCAAACATATTGGGTCGGAATCATACCAAAGAAGTTGTTGTTCTCCAAGGACAAAGCTGAGAGCTTTGGTAATAAACCCAAGAACAGAGGTAACACGCCTTGGATCCGGTTGTTGCTGAGATCGATGGATATGAGCTCGCTGGGGAGACTCAAGGGGGAATAGTACGGTGAATCTAAAGAGGTGAAGCCATTGAAGGACAGTGTTAGCTGCTGTAGAGACTGATGAGTGAAGATGAAGGATGGGATTGAGCCGCTGAGTTTGTTGTGGGTAAGATCAATCACTTGGAGAGAGTTGAAAAGTTTGAAGCTTTGAGGGATGGTTCCATGGATGAGGTTGTTTCGCATGGAGATTTGGACTAGAGATTCCGGTAACGATGACGGGATCCGACCCGAGATGCGGTTATCGCTAGCGTCGAGGAAATACAGGTTTTTGAGTGAGTTCAGATCGGGGAACTCGCCGGAGATGTTGTTGACCTGGATCTCTAGCCGTTTTAGGTTGGAAAGACCGTTGAAACTCACCGGAACAGAGCCGTCGAGACGGTTTCCGTCGAGGAGGAGCTCCTCGAGAAGCGACAACGACCCGAGAGAATCGGGTATGGATCCTGAGAAGGAGTTTGCGGAGAGGGCGAGGCGGGTGAGATGAGTGAGATTGGAGAGCGAGTCGGGGAGTGGACCGGAGAAGTAGTTGCCGGAGAGATCGAGGGTGTGGAGATAAGGGAGGTTGAAGGAGAAGGAGGAGAGGGAGCCGGAGTAACCGGCCTGGTCAAAACTAAGCTCCGTGACCCGACCCGATACGCAGCGGAGCCCGCAAGTGAATGTGTCGCTGAAGACACTGTCGCAGGGATCGACGGAGAAGTCCCAGGTACTCAGACAAGAGCCTGGACGCATCGATTTGGCATCTACTGAGTTTTTCAACTCTTTGAGAGCTGTCACATCACCCCAGTAAGTCTTGGACTCTGCTGAAGATAATAAAGTGGCCAAAAGATAAAGAGTTACAAGTGAAGCCATAACTAAAGACATATGCTTTGGCTTCTGAGACATGTTTGGAAGAAGAAGAAGAGGAGCGGGGTTGGAGTGAATAATGAGTTAATGACCGTTGAATGAGAGATAGGAACCTTGTTCTGAAACTTTGAAGACAGAAGAATTTATTATTATATACAGAGATTGTATGTATTAAGATTATGTAAAATTATGTGCATGTGTGTGTGAGAGAGGGTCCATCAGACATCATCAGTACAGTGAGGTGTGGTTGACCCTACACACCATGTCACCATCTACCATAACTCAGAGGTATGCTTGAGTTTTAGATTTTGTTAAGATTCCAAAGGTGAATTACTTAACTTGCACATTTGTATTCAAGTCTTATTCAAGAGTTTTAGATTCTGTTAAGATTCTAAAGCAGAACAACTAGTGAATTCTAATTAGGTGACATAATACCAAAAGTTGTCAAAATCAAAATTAAAGTCTTGGTTATTAACATAAAAAAAAAGTTATTAATAGCGAGCAAGGTTGGTGAGTTAAAACCAAACCAGTTAGATGCAAATGCTAGTGTCACAAAACTTTGAAAAGGATGATCTAAATTGTCTGTATTATTATCTCAAGAAGCAGCAAGCAACAAACAACATCAATGGAGTCCCTTTGAAACTGGACTACTGGAGTATCGCCTTGAGCTTCCTCAATTTTTGAGCATTTTATCTGATATTGTGCAATGTCGATCAGAACAAGTTGAAACGTTTATAAAAGCTTGTCTTTTTATTCTCTCTTATTAGATTTTATGTTAGATTACATATGAAGAGTATAAGGTATGTACGATGGCTCGGAGCCATTTTTTCGATCAGAGAGGGATTCGATAAGTGGGATCGAACATCTTCAATATAAACAACAAGTTGCCTTTGCCCCTTGATATCCTGTAAAAAAAGAACATTGTTTTAAGATTCAAACGTTTTTGGTTGTCACTTCCATAGGAGTGAAAACTATCATTCAAATCACTACTGACCGTAGTTCCTCGTCCACATAAGTAATCTCTAGTTCACCGCGGGCGCTATCAGGTGCTTTTACAGGAATCTACACAACAAACACTAATCAGCAAAAGAAGCATATAAGGTGTATAAGTAGAGCTTCTACTGTAGAGGTTCTCTTATAGCAGCAAGACTTTTGGTATACTTACAAAACCGAGAATTTTAAACACTTGGAGTTTCACAGCAACCTTCTTCGAATTGAGGGGTGTCAAATCTCCAGTTACCTAGGAAAACATTGTAGTTTGCTATAATATATGAGTCTCATTTTACAAACTCTGCCAAAGGAATATTACTTTTGGTATTATACATATAGTCCTTTGTTCTTGCCTAGTCTGCCACAATGGAACGTGATCATACATATATGTGACAAAGTCACAAACTTTTGTACATTTTGAACATTTTATAGCAATCAATAGGTTTCCACATCACAGAAAAATGAGCTTTGTATATGGTCTAACACAATGCAAACCTACTTGTGAAAATGGTACAAAAAGAGGATTCAGCGGTTTGAAACATTACCGAGTTATAGAAAGGCCAAGTCTCCATTCTTTGCACCTTTAGTGTATCCATATTGATACATTGGTAGTTTGTTATTGATCTTAAGAACCTTGGTTTCTGTTACATTGTCAAAGAGACAGAGAAAATGACACAACAAGGCAAAAGAAAAAAGATATACACAACAACAACACAAGTTCTAACCTTTGCTTGCAAAATCGCAGCAGATGTTGTATAAATGAGCTCCCATTTCCCATTGATTAAATCAGACTTGAGAGGCTCATTGGTTGGGTTTACTGCTTCCACTTTACGTGCTAACTGTCACGACTCAAAACAACAATCACTAAGATTAGTCTCTCAGTCACATTCTCTAGACCCTAGTTTTCCAAAACTGTTCTCAAGAATGGTTCCCACAGGAAGAGAAATCAAGAACCTGATCAATCCGAAGCTGATCATCAGGCGTGGCAGTGGCACCACGTTCAAGAGGCTCAATGGCTTCAAGAAGTTCCTGTTTGAGCTGTTTCCGCTTCTCGGCTTGACCGTTTCTTGGAGGAAAGCTGAAAACAGCTTGGATTCTCAATCTTTCCCGATCACCTTTACGAATATTCTGTAACTTTTTCGGAACGGCAAAGCCACTGTCCAACTTCATAAGACTGCCTGGAAGACTAAATCCGGCGGCCGGAGGAGACATTAAAACTCCAGTCTTTAAGTACCAAGGTAAAGCCATGAATATCAAAACAGGACAAAAAGTTTTTCCAATGGAGTTTCAAGAGTCGCTGCTTCGTTTCAGAGAGACTCTGTTCGAAGTCCGAAGATAGACACATAAGAAGGAAAAAGAGAGAGATCGTTGATCTTTCTTCGCCATGGCTGACAACAACATCACACACACCACCGAAAGTCACAAAGATAAGATGTTTTTCTCTCTCTTCTTCTAAACGAGAGGCCCTCGTTGTTTCTGACTCATAACGGCGGCGGCGGCGTTTGAAACGAATGTGGAAAAGCAGAGCTTTGCCAGATTCTTCAAATTGTCCAAAGGCTCTACCTTTCTTCCTGGTTCAACAGAACCAACCAACTCTGACCATCACTTTAACCAATTTTCAATCCTTATCCGGTTGAGATCTTTGTACCAGACCATAACCAATTCACATCTAATTGGTTTAACTTAGTGTTATTGAAAATTCATAATCAACAGAAACAATATAGGAAGGTCATGGAGACAGACATGAGACATGCATGAAAGAGAGAATGATATAACTATATAAGCAGCTTTGAGGAACTTCAAGGTGATTGTACTGATTCAGTATCATATAGTTTAGGATTGGAGCCAACTGATCAAGTAAGCACAATTCAACCAAATCAAGATTCAGAATCTTTGATTTGAACAAGTTGAAACAATGAAAAAAGCTCGTCTCTTTTTATTCCCTCTTATTAATTATTTTTATGTTAGATTACATACATGATGAAGAGAGACAGAACAAGCGGGTATCAGGCATGTATGATGGATGGCTCGGACCATTTTCGTTCGACAGATCAGAGAGGGATTCGATAAGTGGGATCGAACATCTTCAATATAAACAAGTTGCCTTTGTCACCCCTTGATAACCTGCAAAACATAAACATTGTTTTAAGGTTTTAAGGTTTGTTCGATAGAAATGAAAACGTGCATTCACTACTGACCGTAGTTCCTCATCCACATAGGTAATCTCTAGTTCACCGCGTGCACTATCAGGTGCTTTTACAGGAATCTGCACAGCACACACCAATCAGTAAATGAAGCATATGGTGTCTGAATCAGTAAGGTTCTCTTATCGACACACACACGTATAGCAGTAAGAGTTTTAGTGTACTTACAAAGCCGAGAATTTTAAACACTTGGAGTTTCACAGCAACCTTCTTCGAATTGAGGGGTTTTATGTCTCCAGTTACCTATGAAAAGATTGTAGTTTGCTAATATATGAGACTCCTTTTACAAACTCAGCTAAAGGAATATTACTTATACATAGGAAAGACTCGCCAAAGAGCTATATTGATGATAAAAAGTTTGGTCTTTATCCTTTGTTAAGAGCCAAGTCAAGCCACAATGAAACATTACCGAGTTATAGAAAGGCCAAGTCTCCATGTTTTGCACCTTCAATGTATCCACATTGATAGATTGGTAGTTGGTAATTGATCTTAAGAACCTTGGTTTCTGTTGCATTGTTTAAGAGATAAAAGAGAATGACACAACAAGCCAAGAAAAAAAAGCAAACTTAGACACAACAATAACAACACAAGCCCTAACCTTTGCCTGCAAAATCGAAGCAGAGGTTGTATAAATAAGCTCCCATTTCCCATTGATCAAATCAGATTTCAAAGGCTCCTTGGTGGGATTAACTGCTTCCACCTTACGCGCTAACTGTCTCCATACAAACAAAAGTCACTCAGACTTGTCTCTCAATCACATTCTCTAGACCCTAATGGTTCCTAAAGGAAGAGAAATCAAGAACCTGATCAATCCGAAGCTGGTCATCAGGCGAGGCCATAGCACCGCGTTCAAGAGGCTCAATGGCTTCAAGAAGTTCTTGTTTGAGCTGTTTCTGCTTCTCAGCTCGACCGTTTCTTGTCAGAAACGCAGGAGGGAAACTGAAGACAGCTTGGATTCTCAATCTTTCTCGATCACCTTTTCGATTACTCTGTAACTTTGTCGGAACGGCAAAGCCACTGTCCAACTTCATAAGACTGCCGGAAAAATTAATTCCAGTGGCCGGAGACATTAAAACTCCAGTCTTTAAGCACGAAGGTAAAGCCATGGATATCAAAACAGGACAAAGCTGCTTCGTTTCAAAGAGACTCTATTTAAAGACAGACACAGAAGAAGGGAAAAGAGAGAGATCGTTGTTGCTCTGTCTTTGCCATGGCTGACAACATCACACACCACCACCGCTGTCACAAAGATAAGATTTTTTTTCTCTCTCTCATGAAACGAGAGGCCCTCGGTGTTTCTGACTCATTACGTCGTCGTTTGATACAAATGTGAAAAAATCAGAGGTTTGCCATATTCTTCATATAATCCAAAGGATCTACCTTTATTCCTGTCTATACTCAAATCAAGAAAGAAACACAATGAGAAGAAATAACCGTTTTAAATTTCAAATATTAGAGGCCGAATTGTTTTGATGTTTTACATAGTTCCAATGTATATACAAATGATACAAGGTTGAGACGTGAGTTCCAATCTCTATAGTTAAAATCAAGAAAGCTTTGTGTTTTACAATTCTAATCAAGGGCTCGAGTTACCTATATCATAAGCTTGATGAGATAACAAGCTGAGAGAGCAAAACTTTCGAAATCTTCAACGTGAAAAGCCCAATCTTTACGATGATATAGAGGTTCAAGAAGATAAACTGTTAATGATGTTCCGTAAAAAAGATGATCTCAACATTCACAAGGTTGAGATTCTTTGTTTACCGAATTAGTTGTCTTCAAAGCTTTTGCCTCTTTCTTGTCTTCATTTTTTCTTTCAAAAGCTTCTTTCTTCAACGTCAATGGTGAGCAAGATTTTGAAGTGAGCAAACATTCAAGCCATATAAATGAAACAACATTCTTTGCCAATCCAACTCTGACCAACATTTTAACCACTCTTCAATACTTATCCCGTTGTGATCTTTTTACCAGACCAAAGCCAACTCACTTCTCATTAGTATAGCATGGTATTATTGAAAATTCATAATCAACAGAAACAGTATGGGAAGGTCATGGAGCCAGACATGAGACATGCATTAAGGACGAAGAAAGAGAAAGAGAGAATGATCAAGCAGCTTTAAGAAACTTCAAGGTCTCGTCAATGTGTTTCTCAGGCTGGAACTGGTTGTTGTAGATGAGCTGAACAACACCGTTTTTGTCAAGGACGTAAGTTTGTCTCCCTGGCAATGCCCCAAACAAGTCTCCTGGTACTCCCCAATCTTTTCTCACCTTATTCCCTTCGTCGCTTAACAATGTATACGGCAGCTTGTATTTGCTTGCAAACGCCTGCAACAATGTTTGAAGTCCCAAACCCTCTTTAAAACCCGTAAAACAACATCGGTTTTTTATTCAGAAATCAGCTTATGATGTGTGTACCTTGTGAGAAGCAGAGTCATCACCACTAATCCCAATGACCTCTGCACCGGCTTTCTTGAATTTCTCATAAGAGTCTCTGAAAGCACAAGCCTGTCGTATAAAAATAAAACCATTTACGTTTAACAACACTAAATACGCGCGATGAATGCAGAAAAGAGAAGAGAGTAAAAATGAAAGACCTGTTTGGTGCAGCCAGGGCTTTCATCTGCAGGGTAGAAGTAGAGAACAACAGGCTTCCCTTTATACTTCTTGAGGCTCACCGGCTTTCCGTTCTGATCCTTGAGTGTGAAGTCTGGTGCAGCCTGACCCTTGTTAACCTGCTGCCCACAAAGCATCACAAAAAAGAACAATTCAAAGAAGGTTAAAGAGAGTTCAGAGATAATCTAATAGAGGATTGAATATTTCAAGAGCATTCTAGCATTTTCTTTGAGGTATGTGAAAGTTTATGGTCTCTAAAACAAACACTGATTGCAATTTTCTTTGATTTTGTCTTTGGTTCTGCACTAACACATTCATGAATCTATCATCATAACATTCAAATTCAGACCCAAAATACTCAATTTTTCCATGTATATCTTGGGATCGAAGGCAAAAACATATAAGAAAAAGTTGGCAGAGATTACTACAGAAGTTGTCTAGGAACACAACTAAAATTGTCCAAACAACATTGGTCTAACAAAGAAGCTAATTCCCAGAACTAGTTGTTACCCAATTGTAGCAAACAATCTATCAATGCAAGATTCGTGAAATGTACCTTGGCAAAGATTAAGCTTTTGAGAGAAGAGGAAGAGACTGGGGAGAGATACGACGAGTGAGTGAGTCTGGAGCCAAAGAAATTAGATTCTGATGATTTTGTGGGAACAGAAAAATGGGTTTTGGTGACAAGGGTCTTTCTCTGAGGGAGAGTGTGAAGTGTGGTGTGATTACAGAGAGTGAAAGAGGAAGATGAAGCAGCCATTTTTTTTCTTTTCCTCTACAAGGACGTGGTTAGAGCATGGAGTAGAAGAAGATGAAGATAGGGAAACAACATCACACAATCACAGTCCACAGAGATAAGATTTTTTCTCTCACCTCTGAAATGAGAGGCCCACACCACAACAACACAACATCACACATTACGATGTCGTTTTAAAACAAATGTTTCTTGTATTTCTTCCTCTGTCTATATACTAAATCAAGAAAGAAAACAATGAAAAAGCACCATTAGAATTGAAAACTAGACCTTGAAATGTGTTCTTTATTTCATATCTCTATGTAGACAAATGATACAAGATTGAGACAACAGAACTATTGAGTACATAGTTGTATGAAGACTTGAGAGTTCTATCTATTCTACACAGCTCCTTAAAAGCTTGTGGTTCAATTAAGGGCTAGTTACCTATACCATAAGCTTGAGATGAGATTACGAGCTGAAAGGACAAAACTTTCGGAAGCTTCAACGCGAAAAGCCGAATCTTTACGATGAACTAGAGGTTTGAAGAAGAGGAATGATTGATCGGGTTTGTCTCTGATGTATGTACCTTAGTTCTGTAGAATATTAGGAGACATATTTTCTTGAGTTTTTTTTGGTGTCTGTGGTTTGGAGGAGGGATGAATCTTGCTGCTTTTTTGTTTCTCCATGACTACTTTTTTGGTGTTTATGATCTTCATTGAGGAAGCTTTATGGGGAGTTTTTATGTTCTTTTTTCCTGGAGTTTGGTTCCTGCGGAATCTTGGTGAAGTCATGGTTATCGGTGGTACCTGCACATGATTATGATGTCATCATACATCAAGATTCAATACCCAAATTTGTGAGAAGTTACAGTCTGATAGTTAGATCTTTACTATACCTGAAAACCACCAACTTGTGGGTTCTTCTTGTGTTCTTCAGATGCTAAGTGAGTGTTTTGATTTGCCTTGAAGCCGCAAGAAAATTTATCTTTTCCAGTTTCCTCTTTCTTGTTCTTTTCTTCTACCTTCTTGAAGAACTAACAGACAAGAAGACACAGCCACAACACTTCATTAACTATGGCTCTATAAGTCCTCTGATCTGAAAGATAAATTAAGGGGGTATTCTTTAGTTCTACCTCTTTCCTCTTCTCTGCTCTTTCATCACTTCTGAAGATGAAGGGAGAAGATACAGTCAAAGACTTTGCTTTGCTTCTGCTATGAGTTGAAAGATTTTCACAGCTGCAAATGCATTAGACAAAAAAATCTCGTTAATTCGGCATAAATCAGGGAACTAACACAAACACTTTCAATTAACCGACTCAGGCCATTGCAGTAAGTAACATAAGATAGTAAGTGTTTCTCTAAGAGGTTGTTACTTAAACCGCTTACCCGACAGGGGGTTGTTTTTGCACATTGTTGGGTATTCTGCATGAAATTAATCTCCCTACAGTTATGTTTTTCCTGTATATAAGAAGAAGCCAAGTTAGTAAGTAATAGCCTAAAGCGATAAATTGTATTGAAGATGGTTGGATCAGTAACCTTTTGTTTTCTGATAGCTGCTTACTGAGAGGAGGAAGTTCGGGTATCGTGACAGCAGAGGCCTGCAATATATGTAAGAGTCAGTCTCAGCAAATATGCGATATACGCAATGAGAGAAACTTGAGAAGAGAATTACACTGGTTGAACATTTTGCAGCTTTAGAACCTTCTTTGGATGTTTGAGACAATGGTCTCTTGCGGCTTTTTGAAGCTCCCGTTGGTTCGTTTGTCTTTGGGAAAACTTTGTTTCTAGCATTTGATGAAGTTGTTTCCTGTGTAGTGGAGTTTCTTACCAAGGTTTTCGAGGCTGCTTTGGTCGTATGACGAGCAGAAGAAGCAAAATTGAGTGACATGTGAACTGAACTTGGACATGATCTCTTCTTCTTGTCTGCTTTCACTGCACTCTTAGCACCGTTTTGGGGCATCCTGACAATTTTTTTGTCGGTACTACCAGAAGGAGCACAGCTGATTGACATTTGAACGGATTCAGGAGGTGATCTACTTCGGTTCTTCGATACACTAAGTGACCTTGTACTACTCAAGGATGACTCTTTTCTAGTGTTGTTAAGTGAATGATCCAGTTCTATAACAACGGAAGGTTCCAGTTTTGAACTTGAGACCTTCGATTCAGAAGAACTAGGAGGTCTTTCTTTGCTCAAAGAAGTAGAATTCTCCTGAAAACACCATGGACGTTGAGAGAATAGAACAAAACATCAAATTCCAATCTAACAAAAAATGAATTTGATGCATTACCTCATCAAGACCATTGTCTTCAAGAACAACCACTGACTTCAAGTTCTCCACTTCACCAGTTTTCACATCAGTTGTTTCATCCACCTCACCGTTAGACACCACTAGTGTTACTTCTGAATCAACGAGAATATCCTTTGGTATCTCACATACAATCTCATCACCGGTTTCAACTTCTTCGATCTTTTTCGGCTCCGTTACTCTCCCGGAAGCTCTGTTCTTGAAATGAGCTTCAAAGAAAGCTTTCTTCTGAGCCACAGAACCAGGTTTAGTAAACCTCTCAACCTCTTCCAAGTAACGATTCTGAGTAAAAGCTGACCATCTCTCCCACGCTAGTGTTTCATTCGCAAATCTACCAAACGATACCGATTCCGTAAGCACACGATTAGGAACCACCTGCAAAACCAAATCTCAAATCTCAACACTCTACACGAAATCAATTTCTAGAATCAAAACCCTAAATCCAAGATTGTATCTTGAATCCACGAAATCGAAGTAGATTCACAAATCTGAAGCACTAACCTCGTTGTTGATTTGATGCGATGAAAACTCTGCAGCTTGCGAGAAAGATCTCACAAAGCAAATTGATTCTCCCATTCTTTTTTGTTCTGGAGATCCAAAAACCCTAATTTTATCCCCAAATCTGGTGGTTTCGCTGAGAAACTGAAAACTAAAAAATCTTAAAGCTTCTTCGGCTGCAAATCTGAAAGTAGGTCCGAACTCTAAGCATATGATTTAAATTTCCCCAACGGCCACTTCCTTATTTTATTACGTCATTTATAGAAAACGTTTTATCTAAATTTGGAATAATATAATTATTATATACACTAGTGTTTACAAGTGCTAAACAAGAAATAAAATAATGAAAATATATTATGTTTCACATTTTATAGAATGTTTATTTTATTTTATTTTGAACTATATTTAGCCTTTTCATGTGGATGATTTTTATTAGCTATCAATTATCATTTTGGTAATTCTTGTTGTCTATTACTTAATAATAAACACTAATATTTAACTTTTAGTATTAAGTTCTGAGAGTGTGGTTCAAGTTTAACTTTATTTTTAGTGCTAAATTAATAATTGTAGAAAGTAATAAAAGTTTTGAAAGTGTCTTTATGAAAAAAATATGACAAAAACTTGTTTTTAATTTTAACATGAAATTGCTTTAAAATGACTTCTGAATTTATTATTATATATCATAAAAAAAGTGATTCTTCAGGACTATTTATTACATCACCAAATTTTGCCCGTTATTTGAATTTTAACGTTTTTAGTGGCCTCCTAACGGCTAGTCAAAATCGAACCAATTTCAACAAATATATCCGGTTTAGCTCATTAAACCGGACTTAGAATCAAAGAACATGGAGAAAAGGTTGGATCACACTAGGATTCAGAGAAGCAAATTGGAGCAATTCTCTATCTTGTTCAAAAAGATTCATCTCTTGTTCATATAGATTCACCCAAGCTTCGATTCCACCAGCTTCTTTCGTGTCGAGAAGCGTCACGATGTTCTTCTGTCTAACCGTAGGAATCCCGACCCAAACCGGTTTTCCCCAACCGAAATCGGTATCGTATAAACCGAACCGACAAGCACTCGAGAAGATGTAGAAATCGAAATCTCCACTTGCAATCATATCTCCTGCTTCTTTCTGGTAGCTACAAATGATCTCTGTAGCATTTGGGTTTCCTACAAGCTTTGGTATATGGTTATCGCGAAACCACTGTTTCGCTTTTCGTATTTTCGAAACCAAAGTTTGAAGCTTTGTTTGGTTTGTTCCTTCCTCTGCTTTTGCTGCAAAGTAGCTCACTAGATTCCCGATTGAGTTCTTTGTGAATGGTGGAGAGACGCGTGAGCGTAGACTCGCGGAGTTAGCCAGAATCGACGGTTTCGATGTTCCTGAAACTGTTCTTGTAGCTTTCATTGCAGTTTTCCATATAAGAGCTGAAACAGCTTCGACTCTTGTAGGTTGATTCACTTCAAAGCTTGAAGCTTTTGCTTGCAGGGCTTGAATGCTCGAAGAATCGAATACAAATCTCTTCGAAAGAGTCTGATTCATCATGATCTCTGGCTCAACCACTGGTGCAGGGGAAGTCTCAGAGAAGTTTCCAGGTGGGAAGATCTTGGCCGTGTCAAACACTGGAAACCCAACGGTTTTGATTGATCCTTGGGACGAGATTGCAGCCCAGCTCTTCATGAATAAACCGATAGAAGTTGCGTCAGCGAGTTTATGAGAGATACAAACTCCTATAGCCATGCTTCCACATTCAAAGAAACTAGCTTGAGCAAGAAACAGTCTGGTTCTTGTCTCTATGGAATCAACTGATGTAGGAATCAGTTGTTGCAAGCTGTCCGAAGAAGGCTCTTGTAGGAGACTCGAAAGCGGGGAATTGACTTCTGCTTCGAGGAAATCAGCGCCGGAGTCATTACAATCGATACTTATGTTGCCTTTGAGCCGTCCAGCGAGAGGGTAGAAATGGGTTAAAGTTTCAGATAACGACTTCTTCAGCTTCTGCAATTGCTCAGCTGGTTTGATTCTGTTGTTACCTGAATAGAAGAAAACCATAGGACCAAAGATCGTTGGACCGAGCTGTTCTAAAAGAGAGAGTTGAAACTTCTTTAAGTGGTTTGGAGTTGGAGATGACGGTTTGATGATATCTCTGGAGATAACATCAACTCTCATCTGATGAAACCTCCTGACAAAAAACCGACCAAGAGTCATCGCAGAGAGCTTTTCTTCGGTTTCTTGGTTAGAAGAATATACCTGGAGTAACAGAACCTTTTAACAGACAAAACCCAAATATTCTTGCAGGAAAATGCCAATAGATCCTCTGTATACTAAATGACAAAACCATTATTCCAGAATCAAATTTTAATATTAGAGCCATCTCTTTCACCTATAAACTAAGTGACTTCAAACAATAGAAAATTTGTGTTTTCATAACAAGATGTTTACATGAACGAAGTATACAGACAAATCAAGAACTGAAAGAGGACAACAACATTTGGCTAAAATCTCACACTGTTTAACTGAATTAAACTAGTCTTGAAGTCGAAACCAGAGACTTGAAGCAATCAAAGCAAAGTAAATGTATATACCTTTCAGGCGTAAAGAAAACAAAACAATAAACCGATTCTTGTTGCATCGCGTAAAGTGCAGAAAAACTCTTACTTCGCCATTGATGTGTGTCCCTTTGAAGCAACAATCTCCTCTAGCTGTTTCCAGGTTTCTCCATTCTTCTTTTTAGTATCTTCTGCTTTTTGCTGATCTTCTTGGAACTTGCGCAAACATTCTTCGAATAAATCTGGATTTGTATCCGACAAAACCTTGAGAACATTCTCGGTCAAATTCTTCACAGCCTGATTCCAATGGCTGCTACCATTTTTCTCCAAAGCGGGAAACACTATCGGTAAAATGATTCTACTGTTCTGTCTCACCAAATTAGTGACATGATCGTTGTTCCATAAGTATAATGCCCGTTCTGCTACCTAATCACACAAGCAGTTGATTTTTTATGAACAATTCAAGAATCTAACAATCAGGTAAGTGTACCAAATAAACTCTTAACTTTACCTGAAAGTGAGAACTGCTTAAGCACTGAGCAATTTGGCGAGAGAGCGGAATCATACACCGTTCAAACTCTGTTAATTGAGTTGCTTCTAATATCTCCTCCAGTTCATTCAAGAACATTATTTCTTTAGAGCTATTAGTAACAGGCCAGTACTTCAACATCCCTCTAATTACGGTATCCGCAAGCTTACAATCTTTCTCAACGAACTGTATAACGCAATAAGAAAGCTGCTGATGGTAATTTGGTAAGCATTTCAGTTTGTGTAGAGGAATCAAGACACGAGTAAGGAAGAGCTTGTGTTCTTCCTTGAGTGGTAAAGCAAATCCATTGATGATGGATCCTAACACTTCAAGAAACTCGGCGATTCCTGAGTGTTTCCCGGTCTCGAATATAAAATCATACAAGATGTTGTTCATAGTTTTCCTGATGAACGGGCGATGAACCATAAACCTCCCGTAGATCCGGTGAAGTATCGTTTTCAGATACTCTCTTTCCCTCGGATCTTCAGAATCAAACAAATCCAATAGCTTGAGAACGAATGTATGATCGATGTATTTCTTGGATATCTTGGGGTCAGTGTTGGGAGACGCAACGATTCTTAGAAGGAACTCATAAACAATCTGCAAGTGAGGCCAAGAAGGATTCAAAGATCCTTCTTCTTCTTCCAAATCCAATGCTTCTGAAGTTTTGTTCTTCCATTGTCGATGAGGATCACTAAAGAGATTCGCCGAAATCATCTTCGTAGCTTCTTGAATAACTGATTCAGGGAACTTCCCATTCCCTGAAGAGATAACATAATCCACAACTTCAAGAAGCGTCTGCCTTTTGATCTCTTTCTCCTTGAAGTTCTGTTGAGGCTCGGCGACGAAATCAAACACAACACAACATAGTCTAAGCTTCTTAAGAAACAGTTCTTGCTTCTCAGAGATGGAAACATCTCTCAACCTTGGCAATACATCAAAAGAAACACAATCCAAAGTATCTCCATTTGACGATGATCTCTGGCTTAAAACTTCATCACCTCCTTGATTGTTGTTATCTGGAGTTTGGGATTCACCATTATCCCAAAACTTAGCAGAAGTTTTCTTAGGAAGCTTCCCAAGTATCTGCTTAAACATCTTCGATCTATATTGGTCAACTTCCTCAAACTCAGATCGGATTCTTTAAGCAAAAAAAACAGATCTCAGAAACTCAAAATCCGAATTGAAGAAAGATGCTGAACTACTCCTAAGATCATCTCACCACGCATAAGAACAACTCTTGTGAACATACTAGATCTCAGAGATTAATGAATCATCCAGACAAAAGCAAAAGACGAAAAGCAGACAGAACCATGACCCAGAAGCAAGAAAAAGGTAGTAACTTTATATCATGAACGAAGCGCGTGAATCGTTTCTGGACCCAGATAGGAAGATCTAGATTGATGAATCATAGAAAGAAGAAGACTTGGGTTTGACCCAAGTGATCTAAACAATTGAAGAAGAAGAAGAAGAAGAAGAAGAAGAAAGGGTTTAGCTTTTCATAGCTATTGCTTCGTTGGCAATACAGATTAGAGAGAAGAGAGAGAATGGATAAAGATTAGAGAGTAAAGAGAGAGAAAGAGAGGATGGTGACTGAGAGAAGACCCTAAGACCAGAGAAAATTTTCACTGACCAGGACAAGAGAAAACATCTCGACAGTGTTTTCAGTTCAAGTCATAACCAATGGATCAACAAAAAAAAATTTCAAATCCAACCACTAAACCAATCTCTCAATGAAGATCTTTTGAGAGTTCCTCCTAGACTTGTGGAGTTCGTAACCGAACCCACAAACTCAAAAAACTGAAACCAACAATTTGGTTTGGTCTAAGATTTCTCTCTTGAGTTCGTAACAAAAAAGTGGTTTTTTTCTTAATAAAGATTCGATTTTTTTCCTGATTTGGAAGAAATTATACAAATGAAAATCCAAAAGGAAGCACATTTAATACAAACAACCAACAAACTGATTCTTTAGAGAGGCAAATCATATAGCTGCAATTTTTGCAGGTATCATCAAAGCAGAAGATGAAATGAATCAGACAAGTCTCAAGAAAGTGGAACAAGAGATCATCATACAATGTAGCAAAAATAACCCATTAACAAGAAATAAAAATAATGGAAATCAAAACGGGAACAATCTTACATCTTTGAGTTTCCTTTCGTACAAACGAAGAGACCAATATGAAACTTTTCTCTTCTCAAGTATGTATCTGAAGAACATGCCAATTCCGATAGAAGACACAGAAGCTCTCTTTCCCTCTTGTCTATAGCTCTAACTTTATGAAGCCTTTCGCACACCGAGTTCTTCCAATCGTTTCCAAGTGGCTTCACGTTTTGCTTCGGTTTCAGCTGCATTTGATTCATCTTCCTTGAACTTAGCAAGGCATTCTTTGAACAACTCAGGGTCAAGGTCATGAAATATCTTTCGCACGTTTAGTGTCAAGCTATGAACAGCTTGGTTCCAATGTTTCTGTGCATTTCTCTCCAATGCAGGGAATATAATTGGAAGAATGACTTTACGGTTCTGCATTATCAGATTCTCAATGTGATTGTTATTCCATAAGAATAAAGCTCTCTCTGCAACCTGATAACCCAACAGATACGTTTAATAGACTGAATCAAAGATTTAAGCTTTAGTCACAATGCACTAGATCCTGAACCTACTAGAGTTATATGACATGAACAAACGTTTCCCTCTAAAAGATCATATGCAGTCACTGTTTAGCCAAAACAGATACCTTTCAATGCGATACTTTTTTCCTTTTTTGTAACTTTCTACTGAACAATATCCTTAATATATCAATGTTGCTTAGAAATTGCCTTAAGTATCATCTAGAGCTGAATACAACAGTCCTAAACATTGATACCCTGCATACCGCAAAAATCAACTCTTCAATTTGCTCATTTGATATAACTGGTAGGCTATAACGACTTCTCATAAGCTGGTAATGTAACATATATACACAGGCGAAACACTAATACAGTTAAAGTATGTCAACACGATATGGCCTAGATAATGTCAAACCCAACACTAACAGTAACAGAGCAGTTTTCAGAAAACATCAAAGCACCGGGACATTTGCCAGTTTAGAAACAAATGTGAGGTGCTATTATTTCAGAAAGAATGGAGAATGACAGGTACCTGAAAATGCAGACTGTTCAAACATCGGGCTATTTGGCGAAACAGTGGTACCATGCACCGTTGGAATTCTGGTGGCTGAGTTGCTTCGAGTACTTCCTCCAACTCATTCAGAAACATGACTTCTTTGGAACTATTTGTCACTGGCCAATATTTCAACAATCCTCTTATAACTGTATCAGCAAGTTTGCAATCCTTTTCCACAAACTGTGTGATACAATAAGACAATTGTTGCTGATACATTTGCAAACATTTTGGTTTGTGGAGAGGTATCAAAACTCGGACAAGAAACACTTTGTGCTCGTCTTTCAAGGGAAGAGCAAATCCATTGATGATACTACCCAAGATTTCAAGAAACTCAGCAATCCCGTTATGTTTCTCTGTTTCGAAAACAAACCTATAGAAGATGTTGTTTATGGATTTCCTGATGAAAGGTCGGTGTACCATAAATTTACCATAGATCCGATGGAGAATGGTTTTCAGACAATCTCTTTCTCTAGGATCCTCGGAATCAAATAAATCGAGTAACCGCAAGACAAAAGATTGATCTATATATCTCTTCGCCAACTTGGTGTCAGTTTCAGGCGAAGCAACAAACCTCAAGAAAAGCTCATACACAAGCTGCAAGTGAGGCCATGCAAGATCCATGGAAGGTTCTTCCTCCTCCAGGTCTAAGGCATCAATAACTTTATTTTCCCGTGGTTGAGGATTTAGCGTTCTAAATATGTTAGCAGAGACCATTCGAATGACTTCTTGGATACCCACTTCGCTAAACTTTCCATTAGGAGAATTCACATAGTCCACAAGCTCCAGTAATGTCTGCCTCTTAATCTCTTTTTCCTTGATATTCTTCGTAGGATCTGTGAAATCAAACACTACACGGCACAAGTTCAACTTTTTTATGAACAAGTTTTGCTTTTCCGTGTTTGGAACATCTTTAAAACTCGGCAATGCTTCATAAGGAGTAAAGACTCCGTTGTTGTTGCTGTTGTTGCTGTTGTTGCTGTTGCTCCCACTACTCTTTAGATTCCCATCTTTATAACCCGAGTCAGAAGCAGCGGATTTTCCACCTGCTGAAGCGTTCTTAGCATGCGAATTCCCTGATTTCCCGGTACCATTATCACTGTTTTTCGAAGTAGAGGCACCAGAAGTATGAGAAGATGAAGAAGAATGACCACCGTGTTCACGTCCACGATGTTCGTGCTTAGAAGACTTTTTGTTGGGAAGCTTACTTAGAATCTGTTTCCACATAGTTTTCTTATTCTCAACACCAGAATTCAAGTTCCTAGAAGAACAAAATCCATCAAGTTTTCAAACTGAGACTTGGTCTTTTCACCATCTGAGAAAAAAGCAAAATCCATCAAATCCTAGATCAGCCTAATATATCTAAAAACATAATCAAATCACAAACCTGAGATCGATAGAAAGTCCCAAACTTTCCCAGATTACAACAACCAAAAAATCCCCTTTTTATCTTCTGCTTCTTCCTTAATCACGCCCTTTTTATACAATCTAACCAAAAAAATCCCAACTTTCGGCGATTCCAGTTCTTCTGAAACAATCGGAAAATGAAACAATCAGAGAACAAAAAGCTTCACATTTCCCAAAAAACAGAACCTTTTTTTCAGATTGATTTCAGACAAGAGACAAAAGGGCTTCGGTACAAAAGAAAATCAATAATCGGAGATGACAGAATTAGAAGGTCAACAGGAGAAATTACCCAGACACGAAAACAACGATGATGATGATGATTATGATTATTATGATGATTATGATAACAACATTCAAAGTTCTTCAGACCTTCGTTGTTGTTTGTTGACTTGAGATTTTTTCCTTTCCTTTGGAAGTATGAATTTTTCTTTCTTTTATGAATTTTCTGCTTTTTTCTTTTTTTCTTTTTATTATTCTCGTGATCTAGTTTTTATAATTCGATGGTTTGATCCAACGGTATTCGTTTCATCGATCAAACTTTTTTGCTTTTATATTTTTTATTGATTTCTTTGTTTTAAAATAGTACTATTAATTTTGTGTAAGAGGCTACCAAGTCTTACTTGTGTTTGTGATTACGAATTTTTGAAGCGGGCACTAACTAACACATTTCAATAATGGGAATACGCAACGTACGACGTCGTTTAGCTTGCTTAAGCTAAATGCTAATGACATAAACTAGATTTGGTCTACAACCAGTTATAACATCAATTAAGCTATATCTAGTTGCTGCTATATGGTACTTGAAACTAAGACTAACATGCGGGAAACCAACCCGTTAGATTGGTTTCAAAATCCCTTTTGGTTTTTCTTTCTTCTACTTGCTTCAACTTCAAGGTTTAAGTGCAGCTCCATTACAAGCTCTTGATTCATGTTCCATCAAGTCTCCTTTTATTAAGTGTTTCATTTGTTGAATCACATCGAACAAACAGATAACGCTTCGATTTACTCCTCAAGGTTATGTTCTCAGAAGTGAAGCTATCGAAGAACCTATCTTTAAGAAGCTACGCGCGGCTGGAATGAAACATCAATTGAAAGAACTTTTGTTCAAAGGAAGTGACAATTTGTGTAACAAGTTAGAAAGATGAAATGGTAACATGTCATTGAACTGAAAGATAAATAAGAAGAAGCAAATATTGGTTGATATGGATATGGTTGTCTTCCATTATATAGATAGTACCAAAAGACAAGAAAAGAAAAAAACAGAAAAACCAAAATGAAATCATTGATTCCAATTAAGATTCTAGCTCTATGCTAAGTGTTCTTCATTTTCGTAGACGTTCTCACTTGAGAAACGAAGTGGGTCACCACTGTTCTTCCAGATCTGATGCTTCTACACAGCTCACAATATCCCTTTGCCGTTCTCACCACCGCCACATCACCGTCCTACCACTGTACCTTTTTTCAGACATGGAAACGAACCGGATCTAGCTTCTTGCTAAGTATGTTAGGCGAATATGAGCTTGGAGGTGCTCATGTGTGTTTTCCTTGGCTCTCATTTTCATCCTCAGGTGGCTTCTCTCTTTTAAAATCCAGATCTGAAACATTCTCGTTCTTTCTCCATTCTTTTGGGTTTCTCCGGATGTCCCCAACCTCGACAAAGCAAAGTCATCACCGATGGCCTTGTTGTTTCCGGCGAATTGTTCAGTTATCCATTCTCACATATGTGAAGAAATCTAGGCGATTAAAGTCTCCAATGATATCAATTACTCTCTCAGAAGTCCCCGTTAGGTCGGAGCAGCTAAAGCGCCTCCATCCCCTTTCGCTATTACCAGATCTGAACTCGATGATGAACTACTCCGTTTTGGAGATATTTTGCTCATCAATCTTCACCACTATCTATGTTTATGTCCGTACCTCCATCACCTTTGACCTAGAGATTACCAGATTTTCCTCCACCTCTACTAGGCTTCTAGTGACTCGCCTGAATTGCTCTTTTCCTGCTGCCGGGATAAGCTTTGCCGGCGCAGAGACGTTCCCCGATGTCCTTATCGCCGTCGTCCCAATATGCCCGTATTGTGCCCCAATCTGTTTAACCCTAATCCATTCATGGGCTTTGCTCATCTTCTCCAATGTCTTCGCCGGCATATCTACCAAACCAAACATCCGACGACTTCAAGCTCCATCACCACCACTCAGATTGGAAGCTTGTTGGGCCTCTGATGATGAATCTGCTTCATTGGCCTCTGTTGCAGAATCTTCTTGGTGGGCCTATGTTGCAAGATATGTTTCGTGGGATTATGGAAACCATTTCTTGTTTTCAAAACCCAACTTCATGAGTCTAATTGGACTACCTTCCTCTTTTAAAGAGAGTTTATTTCAACAATCTTCCTTTAGGGAATGTTTACTCATACAATTATCTTGTGTGTTATGCATAATTTTGTTGGAGCTATGGTGCACATCAATATCCTCTTATTATGAGCGATCATTGACACATAAATGTCAAAACAACAATTGGATTTCGCCAAATATGAAAATCTTTCGAAATTCAGTTTTCCTTTCTTGTAACGAGGAGTATCTATTCTTCACACTCAAGATCGTTCGATTCAACATTAGTACGGTGGGGTTTCATTCTCCCTCCGGAACTAATATATGAGGACCTTAGCGTGGAATTGTCAAGGGGCGAAAGCGAAAGAGACTTCTCGTCGACTGGTAGAGTTGTGTCGTATGTATTCTCCAGATTTCATGTTCTTATCAGAGACCAAGAATGACAAAATGTATCTGCAAACTTTGCAAGTTGATCTAGGATTTGACAATCTCCAAACTGTTGAACCTGATGGTACTAGTGGAGGCTTAGCTTTATTTTATTCTAAGGAATATCCGGTTAAGTTTTTGTTGTTAGATGATCGATTGATTGACATCGAAACTATCATTAACGGTAATCGAGTTTTTATGACTTTTATCTATGGTGATCCTGTTGTCCCAAATCGCGAGTACGTGTGGGAGAGATTGACTCGAATTGGTATATCTAGATCCGAGGCATGGTTTATTATTGGAGATTTTAATGAGATAACAGGAAACCATGAGAAAAGAGGAGGAAAAAAACGTTCTGAAGCCTCCTTCCTACCATTCCGGGCTATGATCCATATGTGTGGACTTATTGATTTTCCTTTTCAGGGAAATCAATTCTCCTGGATTGGACAACGGTCAAATGGTAAGATTAGATGTCGGTTAGACAGAGCCATGGGAAATGAAGAATGGCATAATATTTTTTCCCACACTAATGTGGAGTACTTAAAGATGTGGGGGTCGGATCATAGACCACTCCTTGCATTTATACAATCAAGTCCGAGAAAAATCTCGAGAAAATTCTTGTTTGACAAAAGATGGATTGGAAAACCCGGGCTCAACGAAGCAGTGTTGGAAGGGTGGAACGGAGCTGGTGGTCGGGTAGACCGACCCATAATGAAAAAAATCCAGAACTGTAAACGGGTTATCTCCATCTGGAAGAAATCAACACAAACTAATTCTGAGATACTTATCAAGGAACTCCATGATAAAATTGAGGAAAATTATGCGGATGATAACGCATCTTTGGATGAACTTCGGGAGCTCAAAAAGCAATTGGGCGATGCTTATACAGAGGAGGAAATATTTTGGTACCAAAAGAGTCGCCAAAACTGGCTAGCGCTTGGTGATAAAAACACAAAATATTTTCACGCTTTGACAAAACAATGAAGGGCGAAGAACAAGATTTTAGGCATTCTAGATGATAATGGGACGTGGGTGGATAATGAAGATGGCATTGAAAGAGTCGCGGTAGATTATTTTGAAAACCTATTTACTTCATCGAACCCGGTGGACCCAGTATCCGCTCTTAGAGACATCTCACCATCGGTCACCCCAGCTATGAATGAGTTCTTAGTCAAAGAAGTCACTGAAGAAGAAGTCAAGAGAGCTTTATTCTCTTTGAAGCCGACTAAAGCCCCAGGTCCGGATGGGATGACTGCTCTTTTTTTCCAGCGGTTTTGGGAAATCATAAAAGGCGATCTCACCATTATGGTGAAGAATTTCTTTAGCTCCGGAATTTTTGACGGGAAGCTGAATGAGACCAATATTTGTTTTATCCCTAAAGGGGAAAGACCGCGAGAAATGTCAGGTTTTCGTCCTATTAGCTTATGTAATGTAAGTTATAAGGTCATTTCGAAAATCCTAAGCCTACGACTAAAGAGATTTCTTCCGGATTTAATATCCGAGACGCAATCTGCATTCGTTGCAGGGAGATTAATCACAGATAATATCTTGATCGCGCAAGAAAACTTCCATGCTCTTCGTTCCAATCCGGTAAATCGGAAGAAGTTTATGGCCCTAAAAACGGATATGAGTAAGGCCTATGATAGGGTGGAATGGGGGTTTCTCCGAGCTTTGATGGAAAAGATGGGATTCAACATTCAGTGGATAGACTGGATAATGCAATGCATTACCTCAGTTTCATATCGGATTTTGATTAATGGCGACCCAAAAGGTCGGATTCGACCATCGCGAGGAATTCGTCAAGGAGACCCAATTTCTCCGTACCTATTTATCTTGTGTACGGAAGCTCTTATCGCTCAGATTCGGAAGGCGGAAAGGGAAGGCAAAATACAGGGGCTTCGAATCTCTCATGCGAGCCCTCGTGTCTCACATCTTCTGTTTGCTGACGATAGCTTATTTTTCTATCAGGCCAATGCCGACCAGAGTAAAGAAGTTATTGACATTATCCGCTCTTATGGCGCGGCATCTGGACAAGAGGTTAATCTGAATAAATCCTCCATTATGTTTGGTAACGAGGTCCCACCCCCCGTACGGCAAGAAATCAAATCGATTCTTGGGATTTCACGAGAAGGCGGGATGGGAACATATTTAGGCCTTCCTGAAAAAATACATGGATCAAAAGCTCAGGTCTTCGCGTTTGTGCGAGACAGATTACAAACTAGAGTCAACTCGTGGTCGTCAAAATTCCTATCTAAAGGCGGAAAAGAAGTCCTAATTAAATCACAAGCACAAGCTCTTCCGACATATGTAATGTCGTGCTTCCTACTGCCAAAAGCAATATGTTCCAAACTTACCAGTGCAATTGCCAACTTTTGGTGGAGTAATAAAGTAGATAGTCGAGGAATACACTGGATAGCTTGGGACCAAATCTGTACCCAACTATCTGAAGGAGGGCTAGGATTTAGGTCCTTGGAAGATTTTAATCTCGCACTCTTGGCGAAGCAATTGTGGAGATTATTACGATTTCCAGATTCTCTCCTTAGTAGGGTTCTTAAAGGACGTTACTTTCGGTATTCTAGTCCGCTAGAGATCACTGTTTCCAATCGACCGTCGTATGGATGGAGAAGCATGTTGGCCGCCAAGGACGTTCTTAAATATGGAATCCGCAAGACCATTGGCTCGGGCTTCGGTACCTGCATTTGGACAGACCCCTGGATACTAGATACTCCGGCACGCCCACCTAAGGGATTATCGGTGGAGAGAGACCCTTTGGTTTTCGTTAATACCTTGATTGACTTTGGGTCTAAACAGTGGAAGATGGATCGTCTCCGGGAATTGTTTCCCCCGGAGGAAATTACCCTAATATTAGGGATTAAACCGAGCCGTATTGTCTGGAATGATGGTTATTGTTGGACAATGACAAAGTCTGGTAATTACACCGTCAAATCTGGATACGAGGTCGCGAGAAATCTTTCTCGCCCTGTTTGCGACCACCCTTCTCAGAGACCTAGTGTTACGACACTAAAGGCGCAAGCTTGGAAATTAAAAACTACGCGAAAATTAAAGCATTTCGTGTGGCAATGTGTGACTGGTTGTTTGGCTTTGAGCCAACGCCTATTTTATCGCCATATTGGTAGAGATAAAGGATGTTCAAGATGTGGTGCAGAAGAAGAATCAATCAATCATCTGATATTTGAATGTCCTCCTGCTAGACAAGTCTGGGCTCTCTCCAATATCCCATCTCCCCCAGCACTGTTTCCCTCGACGTCACTCTACAATAACTTAGATTATCTGTATTGGCGGGGTAAAGAGGCGGGTGCGGATGAAGAGAGTCTAAGAGTATTCCCATGGATTATGTGGTATATTTGGAAGGCGCGCAATCGAAAGATTTTTGATAATTTGAGCGTACCACCTCAGGAAACGCTAGATCTTGCAACACAAGAGGAAGGCGCGTGGAGACGAGCAAATCAGCGAGAAGACCCTCGGGCCGAGTTGATTCTTAGTACGCATGAGTCACCATCTCCAGAGGATAGACCGGTATGCTCCATTGATGGATCTTGGATCGGGACGGAGACTAGGAGTGGGCACGGGTGGCTTGTCTATCAGGGAGGACGACTGCTACACTTGGGCTTGAAAGGCTCGCGTAGAAGTCTTTCTCCCCTACATGCTGAACTGGGTACTCTTTTATGGACGATGAAGTGTTTATTGGCGATCCCAATGACAAGTATCATCATTCAGACGGATTGTTCTGACCTATTGGCTATGACTTGTGCTCCTGAAGAGTGGCCTACATTTTTTACAGAGTTAACAGACTTTGCTTATTACAGGGATCGTTTTACTACTTTCAGTCTTAAGCATATCCCTCGTAGTGGTAATACCTCCGCCGATTATCTTGCGAAATGTGCAAGAAATCGCGGGTTCTGTTTTTCCCATGTAAGTTCGACGGTACCTGATTGGCTCTCTCTAGAAGAGAGTCTTATTCCGTGAATTAATATATGGTGTTTGATTAGCAAAAAAAAAAAAAAATCATTGATTCCAATTACTTCTTCTTGTCTCTTGCATTGACTTAACGTAAGAGATGAGAAAGAAAACCAGAAAACCAAAATGAAATCATTGGTTCCAATTCCTTCTTCTTGTCTCTTGCATTGACTTAACGTAAGAATGTAATGAAGATGTATCTATCATCTCAACTTGGGGAGGACAAAGCGCCGATTCCATCCACCGTGGGAGCACCAATTGTAATAACCTGACAGAAACTTTATACCTGCATATCTCATCCATACACTCCTCACAAATAGGCTGGTTGAAGAAACAATCTAGATGATCATCATCATTATCTTCAGCTCCGAGGATTCTATTCTTCTGAGTCCGCAAGTTACATGATACCACATGACGATTATCTTGACTCCATAGATAGACTGTGTCACTATCAAATGGATGCATTGCCATAGGTAGATAATCACCGATAAGTAGCGGGAGGGCGATATTCCACAAAAGTTGCCAGGATAAATCATTGTTCAACCTCCAAGCCTTGAAAACATTAGACGAGGATTGAGCTAATGTTCTGATATACATGAAAATTCCGTGGGACGTAGTCAAAGCACCTTTGAAGTTGTGATTGAAGCCGTGATTCGGATGATCTGGGAGAGGTATAACCCGAAATTGATCGGAGGATTCAGAATAGAAATCATAAGCTACGAGTACTCCAGGTTCACTAAGATGGTTAAAGTAAATTGAACCATCCAAAGTCAAAGAAGCAGTGTTGGTGATTCGACAAGGGCAGTGAATTATCTTAGAAGTCCAAATCCCAGTCTCAGAGGAATACAAAAACACACTCAAAGTACCGGAGACATCATTATTCGTCGGTCGCATTTCAGCTAACCTAACCACTTTGAAGCCCAAAACAAAGCCATAGTCGTCCACGCGAGTCACCAAACCTAACACAGAAGAATAACCTGGAGCTGGAGGGATTTGGATCCATTGTTGTAAAACTGGATTGCCCACAAAGCAGCAAGCATGATCATACTCTGAAATCATAACCAATCCATGGGAAGACGCCGCAACAATGTAAAGAGACGATGGGATATAAAAAGATAGAGACTTTGGAAGACCCCATGTCTCGCATCCATGGAAACCTATGAGATCTTTTAATCCGTACCACATTAGCGACCACGAGGTTGAGGATTTTCGGTGCACAGACACAAAGAGACGGCGGAAGTAGACTGATTCGATTGTTGATTTCCATGTTTTGCTTACCAGTTTGAATCTAGCGATGATTCTCAATGGTAACCTCGCTATAATCTCCGTCCATATCGCCTCTGTGAGATGTATGGTTTGATTTTGTGTCGCCATTTTCGAATTTGAAATTAGGGTTTCTAGTTTCTGGAGAACGATGAGAAAGACGACGACGACAGTCATTGTCCCACTTCTCTTTTCAAGACCTTATGGGCTTTACAGGCCCAATATGACAATTTTTCTAACTTTTTCGAAAACAAAACAATTGTTTCACATTTTCTCATGTGACGTATGTATGATTCTTGTATTATTTAAACACTTTGTAATACGACTTCTATTATTCTATAAACTATTGACCCAATAAATATCTTATAAAAAATTAATCGTTTCTGTTGTGTTCCTTGATTAATTATTATTTTTATTTCTGGAATATGTCACAAAGAGGAGAAGAATCTTGGAAGTTCATCTTTTTATTATGTTCGAAGTTTATCTTCTTCTACGAAGTATCCTTACTAAAAAACGATATATATCAAACTTTACGTTAAGAACTTAACTAGTTAACTAGTCCACTATGTAGTACCTTGGTGCGTTTCTACCGGGGCCGACCGGATAGCCGATAGGGTTTATCAAAAAAAAAAACTTAACTAGTTAACACATTCCTTTTCTTTTCTTTTTTCACTATTAAACATAATTTTATGTAATTGGTTGCCATTAACTAAGAACACATTTCTTACCTGATTTGTGCTTTGATTAGATGCAACATTTTAAATAGCCTTCATTGGTTGGTTTAATGGATCATATTTATTATTTAAGATATCTATCTACAAGATTTTTTTTTTTTTAATAAAGCTCATCTATCTACAAGATATATCTATCTTTATTGCTATAACACATCTATTTATATTCTTTTATTGTGAATCTTCGTGGTTTTAAAATCAAAACATTACTTGTTCCACTTTCTAGGTATACAAATCTACCAAATTAATATGTCCCAAAGTCATGGCAATATTTAAAAGAAAATTTGGTCAAAATAATAAACCTAAAATAAAACCATTGATTTGCCACTAGATTACTATTTTCTGTTTTTTTTTTTTAATAATGATTTTTTACATAAACATACATCAAAATAAATTCTATTTTAAATCAACAAACTAAAAGAGTATTAAAATATTCATTTTATTAACAATAAAAGATTTAACTATAGTTAGAAAATATTTTATTTTAGCTTAAAACTATCTTGAAAATATCGTATATGTAAAACTGTCCGTTGGAAATCCGAATATTATAAAAAAAATTGCAGCGTAAAATTATTATTTGTATACATTGTTTATCGTAATTGGTTGTATTTTATATATAAGTAGTTGAATATCATCCTAATATAATTAACTCAAATAGAGAGAATAAAATAAAAAGAATGGGAGCTTTCTCTCTCAGAGAGAAGGCGATTTCCGGTGTACCGGAATTATTAACCGGAAATTCTAAAAAGCTTCTCTTCTCTTATCCATCTTAAATCTTTCAGAGTGGAGAAGTCTTCTTTCGGTTTTGATTTCGGACTTCACCGGAATTGTACATATTTTCGTTTTTTGAACGAACTAAATAATTTCCGGCTTTTGTCGGAATTCTCAGTACCGGCTCTGTCCGGGTTTTGCTTCTCGCACTAGCGAGATTTGATATCTTTTCTCTAAGCCCGTTATTATCTCCGCTTTTCTTCAAAATTCTCTCCGATCCTTCCAATCTTTTCGAGGAGTAATATCTTCATCAATTCCTTTTGCTCAAAGAAGAAAGAGCAAAGATCTGACCACATCAAGTTGGGTGTGGCTAGTGATGGAGCTTCCCCGAAGATAGTGATGCTCGAATGAATTTGAAGCTATTTTTTCTCATTCGATCCGGAGATTTCTTGACGTTTGGCTAGGAATTGAGATCGGCAGAAAGCAAGAGGATTCTCATCGCTTCAGAGCTGATCGGCGGTGACTAATCGGCGATCCAGCGATGTCCGGCGACGTTGACGATGCTACTCCACGGCTTGACGCGTAGCTTCGAGAAGATCACATATCCCACACGTGTCAATTTCTAAATCTTTTGTGCTTCAATATTTTATTTTCTTTAATTAAGATTTAGTTAGGACCTAAGCTTTATTTTCGCTGTAATCTTCTGTATACTGGACTTTCTGTAATTTGCCCATTTGGGCTATATCAATGAATCTAAATGGCCGACAAAAAAAAAAAAAAAACTCAAATATCTCTTATTGGATAATAGATTTAAAAAAACGAACAAGAAAATAAGATATCCCTAGTTTGTTGGCATATGGAAAGAATGACAAAGAACTAAACAAATGACACGTGTCCATTATTCCAAAGACTTTGACAATTTCACCGTTACCCTAATCTTATCTCATTCCATTTTATTGTATTTAAGTTTTTAAATTTATTTTGTCTCCAGTTTTATATTTATTTCTCTCCCACGTAAAATCTCAACCCCTAAAATAAAAATAAAAAAAAAGTTGAGATTTTTCGCACAATTTTCTCGTCCTTTCCATCATTTTCTCTCTTGACTCGGTCGACGAAATTCACCAACCTGTTCTCTCTCTCTCTCTTTCTCCATCTTTCTCTCTTCTTTGAATCCCAAGTGAGAATTGTTTGATTCCCAATTCGAAAGTCTGAAGATTTCCCTCAAAAAAGGAGATCTTGTTTAGTTTCACGGCGAGGGTTCGGTTTGGTTTTCCCGTTGATCGCGTTGTTGTTCTTCTTCGTGGGTGAGGAAATAACAGAGGTGTCTTTGATTCAATTTCTTCAATTCAATCCCACAGATTCAAAATTCATATCTTTCTTTCTTCTTCTTGATAATGTTTAGGATTAGGTTTCGAAATTTCTGAAAACCCTAGTTTTGTTTTGAGGAAGAAGAAGAGTAAACAGAAAACAAAAAAAAAAGGGAAAAAATCAGTTTTATTCAATTCATTCTTTTTGTGTTACCCAATTTGGTTGTTAATACGTCTCAATTTCGAATTTCTTTTCTCTAGGTTTTTTAGGGTTCCAAGGAAGCTCTGAAAATTTCTGGTGCCTAGTATTTTTTTGTTGCCATCTGAAATCAAGAGTTTCCTTTTTTTCTGTCCATAGATCTATCGCCTTTCGATAACCCAAAAAAAATAACCTTTAGTTTTTTTCGGATCTGATCTATCTTCTTAGGGGGGTTTTGAGTTTTTTTTCAGGGATTGTGTACAAAAGAGGGATTTTTTTTAGGTTTAAAGTGTATATAGAGATTTAATAGAAATGGCTTTAAATTTTTCACATAGACCCTTTGCTTCTCATCTATCTGAGGAACCAATGAAGATAGCCAATGGGAATTGGTGTTCAAGTTTTGATAATGGAAGGAAGAGTAATGGAGATTCTTCTTCTGTTGACATACTTGATGTTTTGCCATCTGATCCGTTTGGTATGGATATCAACAATACTTTCACGGCCATTACTGGATGGCTTGAGGATTTGGATTATAATAACCAATATGGAAGAAGAAGTGATGACATTTGGATTGGTGATGGAAACCATCAGCAGCTCTTTGCTGGATTGAGTTTCATTTGGAACAATGCAATGCAGTTTCAGAGTAGTGGGTACAGTAATGGATCGGAGTCGTTGTATGGGTTTGGTGGGGCATTTGATGGGTCTTTGTTTTCCGCATGTAAATTCCCGGAGAGTAGTGAGGACAATAATGTGTTTGGAGGAGCATTTGATGGTGATGGATCTTGTCACGGTGCTTTCATATCTGCTAGTAGTGTTGATGAGGTATTGAGCCTCGAGGATGCGAGGAATGGTGGAGTTGTAGGAAGTAGTGATCGCTGCAGTAATGGAGGAGAGGATTCAAATATTCATCCAGCGTTTGGTTTTTGTCTTTATCACTTGGGAGTGAAGGATCTTCTTTCAGTTAGTATGGTTTGCAAGTCTCTGCATACTACTGTTTGTAATGACTCGTTATTGTGGAAGCATATCCACATTTGTCAACCGTTGAATGAGAAGATTACGGAAGAGGCTCTGCTGCATTTAACTGAGAGGGCTCAGGGTACTATGCAGTGTTTGAGGCTCGTAGATTGCTGTAGAATTACTGATGATTGTCTTAAGCGGGTGTTGGAGCGCAACCCACAAGTAGTCAAGGTGAGCTTTTTTCCTTTATTTACTCAAGTTTATCTGGATTACTAATAAGCTGTTATAGATGTGCTTCGTGGTTGAATTGATTTGTGGGATTTTATTTAAATCTAATGTTGTTCTGTGGTTGGCAGCTTGGTGTGCCTGGATGCACAAGGATCACTATTGATGGTATTTTGAGCATCTTGAGGGATCTGAAGTATGCGGGAAAGCTTCAAGTGAAGCATTTAGAAATTGGTGGCCTCTTTGGAGTTACTAAAGATCATTACGATGAATTGTTTGACTTGTTGAACATAGACAATAAAGTCGAGCAGACTATTCAGAAGCCGCGTTTTTACCATAGAGGAGATGCATGTGTGTCCTGTGATGATGACCGGGCGCTAGATATTGAGATGTGCCCAAAGTGTCAAAATTCTAGGCTTGTGTATGACTGTCCAGCAGAAGATTGTAAAGGGAAAAAGAAAGGTTCTGAGGAATGCCGTGCTTGTTCTCTTTGCATACAGAGGTGTTATCACTGTGGTCGGTGCATCAATGACAGCGAATACGAAGAAACGTTTTGTCTAGAGTTTTTGTGTGCTGTTTGTTCGAAGCCGGCCCCTAAGTTAACTCTCTAGGTATAAAATTCCATCTGAGCCTTTCTTTTCTATATGATTGAATGGTTCAGTCTCCATGGTTAGGCTTTAGTTTGTGGGAACTATATCTTCCCGTGGGTGTAGTTGTCATATGTATACATATTAGTATTACTTATTTGGTTTGACAAAGAAAAGACAAAAAAAAAAAAAGAAGAATAAGGAATAGAAATATCCAAGAAAGAAGCAGGGTAGTTTGGTGGGGGAGGACTAGTAATGGTACTGTTGAAGCTGTTTGAGAAACAGATGATGTTGTGAATTGTGCAAAAGGAAAACCCAAGAAAGAGGCTGAGTAGTATGTTTGACAGCAAGTGATGGGATTTGTCGGCTGTTTTAGTGGTTTGAGTTTGGATTCAGAGACTACGTATAGTAAGAAGAGTTTGGGCATTGGTGGTACACTGCTGAAGCCATCAGGGTTGCATATAGGTTGAGAAGCAGATGATCATTTGATCGAAAAGATGAAGAAATTTGTTGGCCTCCTTTCTTGACCGAGATCATAAACTCAATGTCAATGAAGGATGATGAAGGATAGGTCTGTTTATTGAGTGTGGTAAATGGAATTTGGATTCGGAGACTACACAAGAAGTGTTTGTATTTGATGATGGTATACACTTGTGAAGCCACTAAAGGATACCATCATTTAGGACAAGAAACTAGATAATCATTTGGTTGTCTAGTTTCTTACTCGAGATCATAAACTCCATTTCGGTGAAGGTAAATTTGCCTCTATTCATAGATCATTAATCTTTGGTTAGACGTTTCTTAAATACTGAATCCAGGACTGGTTTTTCAGGTTGGTGATATACCTTTGCTCAATGGAGATGATCTTCAACTATCTCTAGAAACTTTTTAAAAATAATAAAAACTTGCTCCATTTCCATCTTTGTTGGACACATTGTTATTGTTATAATTATCATGAAGATTACTCTTTGGATTTAAAGTTTGTAACCTTGGATTGTTCTTGATCCATGTTGTCTGTCTTATTATATTCAAACAATTTAAGATAATAAGCTTTGACTAAATATCAAAGGGACGCGCTCTTATAGCAGCGCGTTGATTCCACGCGTATATGGTAAAAGAAAAAAGTGTTGTTTTCTTTGACATCTTCTTCTATCTCTCCTTGTTCCTCGGAGAAAACATGTTTGTTTCCGATAACAATCCTTCACGGGACATGAACATGATGATCGATGTTACATCATCAAACGGAGATCTACCGATACAACAACAACAACATCATCAGATCATCCTCGGAGATAGCAGTGGAGGAGAGGATCATGAGATCATCAAAGCACCAAAGAAACGAGCAGAGACATGGGCACAAGACGAGACTCGATGCTTAATCTCGTTACGGAGAGAAATGGACAATCTTTTCAACACATCTAAATCTAACAAACATCTTTGGGAACAGATTTCGAGCAAAATGAGAGAGAAAGGGTTTGATCGATCACCAACTATGTGTACGGACAAGTGGAGGAACATATTGAAAGAGTTTAAGAAAGCTAAGTATCAAGATGATGATAAAGCAACAAGTGGAGGATCAACGAAGATGTCTTATTACAAAGAGATTGAAGACATTTTTACAGAAAGAAACAAGAAAGTGGCCTTGTATAAGAGTCCTTCTACTACTACTCCACCATCTTCTGCTAAAGTTGATTCCTTTATGCAATTTACTGATAAAGGTAGAGTCTTTTGCTTGATTTTGGGGTTTCTGATGGATTTTTTGCAGGTTTTGATAATATTTGTTAATGGGTGTTGGTTTAGATTTGGATTTGGATTGTGAAGAAAAAGACTGATCTTTAGTGTTGTTCCTCTTTTAGTGCTAAACCTAGTTAAGAGGATTTTGACCATTAATGGCTAATTATAAAGTTGTTGATTTGGTTGTTAAACTATATTGACTTTTTATAGTAAATTTGGGTTTTCTTCTAAAATTGATCTTTATTTTTTTATCTTCTTGTAGGTTTTGAAGATACTGGTATTCCATTTACATCTGTTGAAGGTATTGATCTCACATTTCTTGAATCTTGTGTGTATATATAAATGGTGGTGTTGAATTCCTTTTTAGTTGGGGAATTACTTTGAGAGAAATGGTTGTATCGGTCCTAGCTTTGGGTAAACAATTGTGCACTTATGATTGCTTTATTATTCAGTGAAATAAAAGTGAACTCAATACCAAATTATAGAATGTTAGTGATAATGTGAAGCCGATTTTGTCTTGGACATTTTGTTTGATTTGTGGAAGTTGTGTAGTCTTTATATGAGTTGTATCTGTGTGCAGCTAATGGCAGGCCAACGCTAAATCTTGAAACGCAGCTTGATCATGATGGTCTTCCCCTCCCCATTGCTGCTGATCCCGTCACGGCAAATGGAGTTCCTCCTTGGAGTTGGAGAGACACCGCTGGAAATGGTAAGTAACCAGAAAAGCTTATATAACTTAGCCTCTTCGATTGCAAGCGTTTTTGTTTTTCATCAAGCTTTTGAACTTATATGACAACTAATTCTCGGTTTCATGTTTGAAGCAGGGGGTGATGGTCAGCCATTTGTTGGGAGGATCATAACAGTGAAATTTGGAGATTATACAAGAAGATTTGGGATTGATGGTACTGCTGAAGCAATCAAGGAAGCTATCAGATCCGCGTTTAGATTAAGAACAAGACGAGCTTTTTGGCTAGAAGATGAAGAACAGGTTATTCGCTCTCTTGACCGAGACATGCCTTTAGGGAACTATACACTCCGTGTTGATGAAGGTAAATTCACTCTTTCTCTGCTATTCATTGAATACTCTCTGGTTAGAGGTTTCTCAATATCCAATTGAATTCAGGGATAGCCGTTAGAGTGTGCCACTATGATGAATCTGATCCGTTACCGGTCCATCAAGAGGAGAAGATATTCTACACCGAAGAAGATTACCGAGATTTCTTGGCTCGACGAGGATGGACATGTCTGAGAGAGATTGACGCGTTTCGGAACATAGACAATATGGACGATCTTCAATCCGGTGTCTTATACCGAGGAATGAGATGAGAAAATGGGTCTACAAAAGGCTAGAAGAAACCTTTATTTTTCATCAGTCACTGTAAATACACATTCCATCTTTGTGAATCAGAGAGATTTTTGTTTGGCTTTTTAGAGATCTTTTTTTTTATCCAAAAACCTTTATTTTCATCGGTCACTGTAAATATGCACCTCTTTTGACATTCCATTGTGAATCAGAGAAATTTGATTGGCTTTTTAGAAATCTCTTTTTCACCCAAGATTGTTCAATGCAAGGGACAGGGACATTGGAAAAGCTGATAACTTTTGAACGAAACACAACACAACACAGGTACAGAATTCTCATACAATTCAGAAAGAACAAAACAGAAAAAAGCATAGGGGTGAATAAAGGATTCACGTGCCTTTAGAACATTAAGAACTCCCAAAGACATAAACGAAAGCTGAACAAAGAGCATTGCATACGTGTCCCGACTTCTGTTACTCTTCTTCATCCCACTCGTCGTTCTTGTATGAGACGAGCGTGTCGACTTTGTGAATCTGCAGAGAATGAAAACCAATACACTTAAGACATTTCAAAGTGATCGGAATAGAGGTTTCAAGTTTCTTCCTCCTCCTTACCTTGGTATCAAACCCGTGTAACTTAACCATCTGTGGATTAGCAATCAACTTGGGGTCGCTTTCGATCCAGGTGAATGGAACAGCCACATCCGTGTCCGTATACGCCAATACATCAAACACACCTAAACAAACACAATAAAAAATGAAAATCCAAATAAACCCAAACTAGTGTTGAAATGGTAACTCAAAGTTGCTATGATTTGGTACTTACATGTTTCATCAAGACAAGGCAAGTAAGTAACGCTTGAAGCAACCTGTCTCATAATAGCTTGAATCTCCCTCATGATCTCCTTATCACTTTTCTCCCTCGACACACTGAAAGTTCCATAAAGATGATGAAAACAAGAACATCACATTCAACAATTTTCAAAAAAAAAAAAGACTGACCCTTTGTCAACAACTTCATTATCAGTCTCAATCCGAAAATTCCACCTCTCCAAAACTTCACCAGTAGCTTTGCTCATTATCACTAACACTACTCTCTGCAACTTCCCAGCTTCAAGCCATTCTTTAGACCAAAAACAAAATCAGTCACAAAAGAATCATATCTCAAACCTATCTCTATTGTTCTGTTCTTTAAAAAAAAAATACATTACCGGAGATCTGAGAAGTGAGATTAGACATGAAAGATTTGACGGATTCATCTTCAATAAGCAACATCGGAAGTCCATATTTCTTCACTTTCACAAAACTTTCCTCTGGATAAACTGCTCGATTATACAAGATACTATATTTCAAAACAACAAAACGAGTCAATATCCAATCTAATCGGAGATTTCCAGAAACTGAATTTGAAATACCGATTCAATTCTAACCTGTTCGCTGCGTAACCTGGAAGAAGAAGAAGAAAAAGCATCAAATCGAAGAGAATGAATGTGAAATTACACGAAATTTGAGTGTGAGAGATTGAAAATACGCACAGAAGAATTCGCTGACGATGGCAGCAGATCCGTGTAAAGTGATGATATCTTTAGCAGCCACTGTTTTGGACGCCATTGAAGAAGCGATTTGGATCTGTGATTTTGAAAATCTATTGTTCTGTGGAAGCAAATTGAATTCGACGCTTAGGGTTTTGATGATTTTGTAAAGGAAAAAAATAAAATTGAGAGAAGAATAAAAAAGAAAAGGGGAATGAGAGCGTAACGGCTAGTCTTCCTCGGAAATGCGCTTACAACGGCTAGTTTGTGATATGTTAATCAAATCCCACTCAAATTATAAATGTATTAAAAAAAAATGGAAAGAAATTTGAAAATGGCTAAGAAAATTTATATTTTTATTTCGGCAATGACCAATTTTGGATTTCAATTTCTATCTAAAATGTATATAGACAGCTAATGATTTTTTTTTATATCGTATTTTAGAGTTGTTTTAAGTTCAGTTTTCATTCATTTGAATCTTTGATTGTTTTTTTTTGTATGTATTGTGAACTCTTTAGCCTTTTTAGGGATTTTTGGTGAAAGTCACGGGAAACGAAAACGAAACTCAGAAAATTCAGTCAGGTCTAAGTAGGAAACTAAAGAATTTTGAGAGAAAGATAATCAACGAAATCTAGTTTGACTCAAACAAGAATTTTTCAAATGACTGCAATCAGGTCGTGATACGCATGATTGGGAGCTACAAACCGAGGCAAGAAATAACACCGATGCAAAAAGAAATGAAATCTGTTGTAATTTCTTTATTTTAGTATTTTTTTTGGGAAAATTGGAAATAAAGGATATCTACTTAAAAATTTGTCCATATATACCTTTTTGGTGAAATTGTCATTTTGGACGAAACTACCCCTACACCCTATTTTAAATATTTAAAAAAAAAATATTATTAGAAAAACAGGTAGATATACAAGAGTAGGGGTGATTTGAAGTGAAAATTTTTAGATTTGGCTAAAAAAAAGTTGAATTTTTGATAGATGAAGTTTCGTCTAATTTTGTTAGAACACGTTTTCTAGAATTCTACGTAACTCAGAGTGTGTATTCTGCATTTTTGTACATGTTCTACATATTTTAGACTAGATTTCTGTTCTGAAAATTTTAGAAGTCCGAAAATCTTATATCTAAAATATTTAGAATATGCATTCTACGCTTTGCTCTATGTTCTAAATATTTTAGAATAGCCGTTCTACTAATTTCTACATCTTCTGCCATCGTTAGAAATTGTAATCTTCGTTTAGAATGTAAATTCTACGATATTGTAGATTTCGTTTTCTGAAATTTTTATAATACTCTAAACATAGAAAGTAAATCTTCAAAAAAGGAAACAATATATATTTTCGAGATTACGTTTTAAATGAATATTTATTATTTAGATTACAATCTACAAGATGTAGAAGTCGTTGTCTACGCATCAAATTATACATGAACCAAGAAACTT